GTCTGGGTTTCATGTTTCCCAAACCCTGTTAATAATGTAAATAATTTCCCAGCATATCCCTCTACTGTGGAGTACGTAGCTCTATGTAAGCTTGTGTATTGTGCAGACAACATTCAGACTCCATTGTTCTGATTGTGGCTAAATATCAATATATACGTTCTAGTGTCCTGTTGTTCAAATTCTACTTATTATAGCTTGTTGAAAGTTTTCATTCAGCTTTTTTCTATATTATCCTACAAAGTATGTTTAGTACTTCTGAACAATACATCTGTTCAACCGTTAAACATGCACTGTCCCAACAAATAAAATCCCAATCGGTGAAATGAGGATACACACACACAGGGGAGTAAAGGGAACGGCTAGGTTGTGAATGATTCTTCTAGTTAAAAAGATCATGATAATGGGTAGAAATAGCACAAGTACAGGTAGATGCAATACTAGCTATATATGTACACTGTTCGGTGTTTAGTGACCTGACGTATAATGCACTAACAATGTAGTCACAGGGACGACTTGACACTATATAGGTTGTGTACATATGACCTATTTGGGTGGTCAGGTGGCTAACTTGTTAGTGCGCTAACCTTTTCCTTATGTAGAACCCGCAGACATCTCAACTAATTACTTCCCTATTCATTCAAATACTTCTAGTTTCTCCTTCACTACCTGTTGATTAGCATTGATTGAGGCAAAATTACATGACAAGTTGCCTAGTATGAGTTTATTGAATTTGAGAACTTTTCTATTTTTACGTAGGATCACAACAATTTTGAACAGCTGCTAAATGTTGATGCTAGGAACATTCAAATTGATTTAATGTCTAGAGATGTTGTTATGTTAATAAGTATATATGCTATCAAAGAACAACTTAAAACACACTTCTCATCAAGTTTACAATAGATATTTTACATAGGAAAGCAAAACAGAATTTTTCTTTAATTTCAAAAACTCATGAATAAATCTGTTATCATTATTTACTGACCCTTAATCCCTACTACCCTATCCCTAATATCATACCAATATATAACAGAAGATTATTGAATTCCTTAGCGCCCAGCTAGTCCACCTAAAATTGTGCATGACCTTATGAACCTTCCCCATGAATGATAAACAGTTCTGCAGGGCATAAACTGTAGACACTAAATACACACACGTATGGTCAATATCACAACATCAATCAATGGACAAACGTTATGTCCTGACTTAAAGATTTTTACTATCATGAACGACCCCTAACTTGGGGACTTGCGACCTAGCTAGGTATCAGGTATATACGTACCAAGGTACAGTAGTAAATATAGTCTGCGGGCTTAGTGACTCATCATCTGTCAATTTAACTCTTGTAGTGTGCTAGTGTCAACTGAAGTTACTCCAAACAAAATTTTAATACATTGAACTTGGGAAACAACAATACAGCCAAAACCTGACATAGTGACCACCTGTCTACAGCTATTGCCTGTCTATAAGGAACCGTTTCATATAGCTTACTACATACATACCTAGTAGCTGTCTTTACCTGATCAGTCACCCCTACAGTTTTAAATTGGATTTGCCCAGTCTTTGATTTGGTATTGTTCGAATGTGACTTTAGGGGTGAATGGGTTAGAACTGTATTATATAACATTCACCTGTAAATGTTTCCTGTTTACAGATAAGGACTTCACACAAACAAAAGAATCTAAATAACACAATAAATACATATTTATAAGGATGATTCACTCGGCTCATCATGATGTTCTCAATTATTGTTATTTGATTCAACAACTTTCCATCTGATTATTTTCACTCGTTGTCACGTAAGAAAGATAAAAATAACTGAAAACTTCATTATTAAGGTCATAATAACGTCAATTGATAGTTGTTAGGGTTTACCAGGTCAGGTGTAATAGTATGTAATATGACTTGATATAAGCCTAGGTGCAATAGGAATTTATAAGGAAATGTTTGTTTTGCTCGTCAAATGGTATTCCGATCATCAATTAGAATATAAATTTTGTCAGTTTCCATACCAAAACTGACAATCAAGCTCAAAATGTCATGCTTGATTAATTAGAAAATTCAAATATTTTATCCCTTTTTATGCACTGATGATATTTTTACTGTACATGTATTCACCAGTTGATAAGAAAGTGATGCTGACACATATAACAGATTTTCATATGACCAGATATAATATTTAAATGATTAATTTGCCAGATTTTTATGTTTCTATATATGTTTCTATACACTTCATCATGTAAAATTGTTAAAGTAATGAAAACAGTTACTATATACATATTATTTATCAAATTTTACCAAACAAAACAAACAAGTAGTTAAATATCAGAACTTGTCAGTTTGATAAAACCTTTCACTGCAGTGAAGATATACAATGCTACATCTTCACATGTGATGACATATTAAGTCCTATGATTTTATATCGACCAATCAGGATAGTTTTTATTTACTCCGACTGCATTCCAGCTGCAGATTCTCTGTTCCAGCTACAGATGAAGCAATCGTAGAGTAAGTGGTTGTTCATGATTCATCATTGGTACACAAACTGAGTTAATCACATAACTACATAATTGGAAACTTTTTGGTATGTAAATCTTCCGAGATAGTAGGACCTAACAGTAGAATTACTGGTACATTGAGCAGCTCATTCAAAATGATGCACAGCCATATTGTCAATAGAACTACATACTTTATAGAATTATATAAACCTATAGCTCCCACTCCGAAGTTGAATTCCCCATCACTCTAAAAAGAATGCAATATATCAGCAGAAAATGTTCAATGGAAACTATGTTTTGTTTAACCCTTTCACCACTGTAGATCATAATGGTCTCATCCAGATCAATGCATGGTAGAGTCTACTAAATTTACACAGGGATGAAAGGGTTAATTACTTGTAGTCTAAACTGATAACAGAGCCAGGCAGGTGGCAGAAGTTGTTTAACTGATGACACTTTTACTTTAAGTCAAATTTGGTAATTAACAAAACAATAAGGAACAATCTCCAACCATGGATTAGTAATTAGAGAGTAATTCCCCTTAAACTATGGTGTTTCTGCCACTATGGCAGATTATAAGGAAAACATGCAATAACGATCAAAGACGCAAGCGAGCCTAAGCCACCATATGAATAATTACCACATCAATACTATTTTCTATTATAGTGTAGGCAAGTTTTAAATCACATAAATACAGAATGGACATGTGATTTGATGAATTTTGGGAAAACCTTTTGATACATTGATGCAAGAAAATTTTGACACGTGCTGTATGTAAACACCAGCTAGTAATTATTGCTTCCATTCTACATTATCTATTTTTGATGACACTAGACACAAGCTGGTGTACAAAAGCATAATCTTACAATGGGGAGTATGCTATGGAGGAACACAGCAGTCAATATTTTGTCAGTGACATGGGTATAATTTGTTCATTTGATACATTTCACTTCATAACATGTTTTAATTTTTCCCCCAAAAAATCCTTTAAAGACTAGGTTCAAGGTCTGAACATTAGTTGACCTTCAACTCTCACGATGACCTTGACATAAGTAGATTCACATGTAGTTGATTTTTCAGCAAGTAATAAGGTAAGCAAAATACAGAAGTTATACTCTAGACAGAGATGTCCAATGTAAGGCTGATGTAAGGACAAAGAGACGGATATGCTTGCCTTTCTACCCGGAACTAAAATTTCTTTTAAAGGAATAAATTTTTGTATGCTATATGTAGCCATATCTTCAAGGTCGGTAGATATGTTTACTTGTATATACATATATATAATCTACAATTAAAATACATAAATAGAATTCCTTTTTAGAGAAAGACATTATTCATTATTCAATCATATGCATGACTGCATTTCCCCAGGTTAACTGGACACTTTCTTTGTGAGATTAAATTCAAGGAGACCAACTATAGAGTTCTTAGAATAAAAAGATGCATCTTTTACTTTAAACCCACAAGCAAGGTGGAACAACATCAGCATCATACAAAAGTTTCGGCTTTTAAGCCAATGTACAATTATGCATAAAATCCTATTGTACATGTTTAATTGCTTGTTTTAATAAGAGTTAAAGACTCTCAGTCTCTCATGTCCTTATTAGCGATATAAAACTTTTTTTGCACCATTCCTAAATATGCTACAAATCAAAACATTGATTATCTTTTTCTCTTTCATAAAACAGGGTTTCTTATTATAATCCGACTCACAAATATAAAAGAACGGGCTTGTACCCCACTGCTTCATCTTAAAGAATGACTTATGTAGGGCCCTGGCAGAACTAGGGTTATAGTATTTACTCCTTACTGAACACAAAAGAAACCAAATGTGATCCGCTGTACTTGTTGTAACACCTAGTCCATCTGTTATTTCCCTCAATTGTTTCTCATCTTTTTCATTTACTCTTTCTTTATCAGTGATGTCTCCCCAGTCAGTTCTCAGACACCCAGGTTAGTCTGGCAATGTCATGAATAATAAATATAGAAACATTGGGGGAGGGGGTTTGAACCAAGTATGATATATATAATTCCAAGTATAGATATTTCAGGTTAGAATTAGGATGCCACTTTAAAATGCTCCTTCAGTAGCCCTGCCATCTGTCCACAATGTATATGTAACTGTTGTGAAGATGTACAAACAAAACTGTATCAATTAAGAAAAGTTTGTTAGTTTCTGTTTTACGTCCTATTAACAGCTATGGTCATTTAAGTATGTGCCAGGTTTCGGTGGTGGAGTTCCCGGAGAAAAACCACTGACATACGGACATGCCAGTACCTGGCAACTGCCCCAAGTAGGCCTCGAAAACGCGACCCCATGGTGGAGGGCTAGTGGTAGCAGAGTGTCAGACGCATTAACCACTTGGCCACCATATGAAGAAAAGAGTTCACCAGTAAAACACAAAGTCTTATGAGGACCAGTTTAAAAAAACCTATAGAAAACCCCCCACCACCAATCACTGATATTGAAATACACAACTTTAAAGATTGAATGATTGTACTTACGAAAGAAATCCTTCTTGGCTAAGTTTTTGGCACATAGTACTGAAAATAGAAAAGTGGCATATTATTTTCAAATAAGAAAGATACATTAATTAATAAAATGTTCAGAAATAACCAATAATAATTCTACATTCATATACAGTTATACATAACATTAATATAAGCCGTCAAACCCAAATCAACATTCAGTCTATACTGTTTGAGTTAAACGTTAAATAATGGACAGGAAAAGTTTATTTCAAATGAATTTCCATGAACATGAAATCCATTCACCACTTAATTTCAACTAACAATATACAGAGGCAAGAATGGGAATCACTACATGGGAGCTTTAATAACATGGATCGGGGTTGTTTCGTCATAAATCTAGTTTGTCTAGGTTGTTTCATCCTAATATAATTTTTCATTTTGATGTTATAATTATCGCTTTAAATGTTTTTAATTATTAAAAAAGCTTACTATATACATTCTCATGTTTCAACACAGAATTAGATCACTAATTCTGTTGTTTTCACGAGAATATGTCTTGTCGCAAGAATTCCATGCTACATTGTGCAGATCTTGTCGACCACATACAAATCTCACAAGTCTTATAACAAAAAACCTAAGTGACTTTCAGGGATATCCTAGAAAAACTTCAAATTACACTATATTAGCTATAGACATAGTTTCAATATTCATGGACAGTATTTTTCAGTTCAACTTTACGCTTAGGATCGACTATGAATGGGTCACATTTCATTCAGTTAACCATAATAACAACACATCACCATAGCCTTGTTGACATTGGTTAAAAGAAAGTAAGAGATAAAGAAGGGGGATTGTGTTGTAAATATTGCGTTATATTTAAGACAAAAAGAAATTTCAAAAGTACACTCAACTTTCATCCCTTCCAACTGATGTCAAAATAGCCAGACTGTGCATCATCAGATGAGACAGAAATTTACAATGGGTATCAATTTCCCCAATATCAGTCAGTTACTGTCGACATCACTTCCCTCAACATAATACAATTTGACAATTGATCGAAGGGTTGCGTGTCAATCTAAAATATCGGGATGGACTACCATTTCAAATAACATGATGTGATTAGGAGAACAATTCTACATATTTCAATTTTCAATACTATTGACGGGTTGGGACAAGGCAGCCATATTTATTTTGGGTTCAGTACTTTACAATGGACCAGCGTTATGAACTGTGCTTTTCTCTTACAAATGGGTCCGTTTTACGGCTTTGTTATCAATACCTGTTAAGCGAATTTTCATTGTAGAATGTCCATGCCGCCTTGGTCCGTTGCTAGCCATTGCTCCGTGTCATACTCATGATATAAACCGTATCATCCATTCATTTGTTGTCTTTGAGGAGAAAGCACTGGTTCGACTCTCGTATGCAAATGAGACAAGAACAGATCAACTTCCGGTATTGGGAGGTCATTTTGATTTCATTTTTAGTCCGTCAATTCTATTTCATTACACTTTATCTATCGATAATATTCATTCAAATAGTCTTAAAATAAGACAGTTAAATGTTAAGTATATTCAAAATTAAACACCAAGTCAGGATTGATACTTTTGGTCATATTACTTATTTGCAAAACGGTCCCGAAGACCGGAAGTGACGTTGACACGCCCTCTTGCTTTTGATACAGAGAGAGAATTAGAAAGATTTTCAATGTTTTAAAACGTACAAAAAAATGGAATTATTTATGTATTATATTTCAATTTGTTAGAATTATTTAGCATGATCTTTCAGATTTATAAACTTTAGCTTAGCTAGTTGATCTTCCCGGTAATATGTTCCCATTTTATTGATTTTTTTATGGATTAATATGCTCAATAGGCCTATTACTAATCTACTGATTGGATGATATTTTCTTGATTATTAAAACTGTAAATAATATCAGTGTATTTTGTCATTTACAATGAACAATATTGTTTTTTTGAAAAATAATAATCCTCGTCTTTTCTGGACATGTTTAGAAATAAGTGAAAAATATATATAATTTCTATACCATATTAATTAATTCATTTGATAAAGCTTAATTGATACAATATGATCCGTTTAAACGTTTCGTATTGACTTGCCTCTGCTTAATTTGTGTTTTAGTAAAAACAAGTTCATTTTCCTTGATACTAAATTGTCTTTTATTTTCACGTTTTGAATACTATAAACGAAATCGTCACATTTCAATAACTAAATTGCTATTGGTGTATGTGAGAATGAATGTGTGTGTAATATTCAATGATCTTTCTATCGTCCTGTAACTACTTTGTGTATTTGTAATATCATACGCATTCACTTTTGTAACGTAATAGATATCAATGTGTGGGACTTTATATAGTCATTCTTATTTTGGTTAAATATTTCTATTCAATTTGTATCGTAAAATCTTCTGAAAAATATACAAACAGGATTTTCACGTGGCTTTGCTTGACTGGTCACGTCGCTTTCATGTGTATATGTACATATCACTGGACATTTTATGTGGTTTGTGATTTTGAAGAAATAAGAAAGGAAATAGTTATCAAATATTAAACGAAGCGAATCTAGTCTTTGTAGTTATGCTATCAACATGTATTATCATACTGCAGAACACATATTATACAGTTTCCTTATGATGATTCATTCATAAGAAAAAATAATCGTTTTAAACATATTATTACATTTATATGATCGCAAACGTATCCCTGTGCTAAATGTTGGTGTGTGGTATGCATTCAGTATTGTACCCATTGAATGCGGATATGTAACAACTAAATAACATTTATCATGATTAATGCAGCGTAGTGCATACATCGAGATGTGATCTAGTAGTAATTCATTGCCGTGGATTGACAGGCAATTTTGCAGAAACGAATACATGAGTAATAGCTAGGTTGTCTGTTTTTTCTGATATGTGTAAGCCTATGTGTAGAACTTCACGAAAATGCACGAAAGTCGATAACCGTCATAAAAATGTCAGTTGGTTCCGGCTGATTTTCAGCACTATTTCATTTTAAAAAAATGAAATCGTCGTAAAGAATATGAAATTTCTTGACAAATCTTGTATTGAATATTTAGTCAAACCATTAACAATTATGCGTCTCATTTGATTAACGAACGAAAAATATCAACGTTATGATTGTTAATGTTACCGCTAAACGAAATCGTTTTCCGCTGGGTAGCTTAAAAAATCACATTGTTCGTATACAGTATGTCCATTTAAATGAATTACAACAAGAAATGCATGTCAGAAATCCCTAAAATTTCGAAAATCACCGCTCTACATATATACATTAACTAAGGAACGATGTTGCATACATTTCTTCTTCGTGTGCATCAAGGGCTCAAGCAGGCACACAATTTTAAATAGGAAGGCTATGTTTTCTTCTCTGGAAAATAAAGTATTAAACAAAATTTTGACCATGACAAAGGAAATGTATTGTAATAGGGCCACATGCCAGATCGACCGGAAGTGGGCGTAGTATTAGTAGAAGCAGAAGTAATATGTCAACAGTAATATTGTCTGCTTCCGGTAGTAAGGAATTAGGATTTAAACACAAACCGGAAGCCGTGATGATTGTCAAGATGAAGTCAAATACACAATCCCGTAATGAGAGGCTATTTAAGATCAGGATTAGGTAATAATACGATGTCAATGATAAGTAGCTATACAACTTTACACCCACCTAACTCTTTACACGAACAGCATTTTCACAGCGACTGTTATAAGTACTGCATAACGTTATAACGGGACCGAAACCCATTGTGTCATGACGGAATTATATATTAATCAGTAGATTTACATTTAAAATGACGTCTCCAAGCAATATTTTCATACGCATCACTTTAAGAGTTTGCCCTCTGCTGGAATACATATAGTTAAGATTTGAAATGAGTGGTATTTTCACTTAAAATCTCATAAAATCGGCAAAATTAATTTTTAGTTTCCCTTATTTTTTTTTTAAATACTCTGATGCTTTTTCATTATCGCGTCTGCAATTTGTATAGGAGTTTAGATTCTGTTTAGCAACATTTCACATCTTCACATCAGATTTTTTTTTCATTATATCAAAGAATTGTTCAAGGAACGTTTCCATAAGTACCAAAAGTGAAATCAGAAAATATGAATAAAATACATGAGTCCATCTTTCAGTTCAGCTCAGCTGTCGTAATGCTAAACATATTTAGTCTAACAACTTTTATAACCATAATTTGGATAAAAGTTGTAAAGGAATACAGACTTTACATGTCGTTGTTCGGGCTAATAAACGGGACTCTTTAGTTAACGGTAGATTCGTCCTTACAATATAACTCCTATCGGGAACTGCGCCACTTGCCTTATGGAAAGTGCCGACGGTTCCCAAGCGCTTATAACCTATCAGGTGGGGCTTTGAGGGGTAACGAAACGCAGTTAAAAATACAGAAAATCAACCCATCTTTGGGTTTAAATTCTATGTGGAGCCATGTCCTTTCTTGACAGGTGAAAACTCAGTGTTTATGATCTATCTTAAGTGTCATAGTACTTTGTAAAAAAATGTTTTAAATTCTAACAGCAAACAAACACATTATTTCAAGTGAAGAATCAATTAACTGTTTTATTTTAAAATATATTTCTTTCTCTACACAAGCAGTAGAATCTAAATTGTGACGTAAAAGAATCTGGAGTGAGCATCAGAAAAAGCAACTTTCAAGCAGTGATAATGTTTTGTGTGCGAGAAGGGACTATTACAAGCCACGGGGATTGGTTGGACAGACTGTAGACTTACACTCAGTTCACCCTTCCGTTGATCATTCCGTCCGTCCGAAAAGTTTGTCCAACGCATATCTTCTATACCATTTCACATTGAGTAACAGGACTTGGTCTGCAAAAACCTCTTGGGATGATGTAGTGCAAAGAGCAGAAGTAGGTCACTGTGAGACTGACCTATGATTTGACCTTTGGCCTTAACCTTTGAAAAGTTTGCCTGGGGCATATCTTCTGTATTTCAATTGGAGTAGGTTCAATTATTATCATTATAAGGCAGTTGTAACTAACAATTAAAAAATAGGACAAATTCAATGAACAATGAAGTTTAACTTTATATTATACAATTGTTTAATTTTGGAGTCCAGTGTAGAGGAGCTCTCTCGGCTCCTATATATTGAAAACTAACTTTAACTTAACTTAATATAACAGGATTACTTATGCGAGTTCACCTTTTGGAAGGTGGAATGAAGAGTACGAAAACTGAAATTTTAACCTTTAAAACGAGCTTGTCCGGGTCATATTTTCTATACTTCTTCACCATGATTTATCAATTATTATTTCACCTAGAGTAACCAGATTTGGAATGCAGCAGAGTACGATAAGTAGGTCACTTTGACCTATGCCTTGATCTTGACCTTAACCTTTAGAACAAGTTTGTTCGGGGCATGCGCCATCCGCTGCTCCCCATGACTACCCCAAAATCCTTTCTTCCCGACGTTTAAAAGTGTATTTTATTATTTTATGAAATTATGTTTTTGGACGAAGGCAAAGATAAGAAATGTGGTTCATAAAAATGGTCATTGTGGCGTGTATTTAGAGCGTATCTAAAATCTAAAAAAAACCACCTGAATGTTTTTAAAGGGGTTTCCGAGCCTCTTAAAGCTGTAATTGATGTGTGTGTGATCCCCCTCCTAGTCCACAAAAGGCCTTCAAGATGAATTTTATTTTAGTTGTCAACTGTTTCCTTTCAAAAAGTGATACAGCTGAGTATGATAATATCGGTATCGATAGACATAGTTAGTGATATTTTTTTATGATTTTATTATTTAGAATATTTAATAAGCAATTAGACAAAAAATATTCAAAGTTGAAAGATATTTAGATTTTTGGTTAAAATTTAAAAATAACCTATTGATGGCCTTTACAATGGCATTCCCTCATTCTGTTTAACAGACAGCAACCTATTATAGAGCTTGGCCAATAATAATTTTAGCAGGTCCCTGTGATTGACATACAAAATGTGGCATAACAGGTCCTACTGTTGCAGATGATTGCTTTCAGTCCATTCCGTCTCTGATTGTTGCCATGTAATACGTTTACTATTATATAATAATACCTTAATTTTGATTTTATCATATTTTTGCTCCCGGCAATAAGTTTCCAGGGACAAGCACCTTTAAATAAATCAGCGTCATTGAAAAGCTCAAAGGTAAAGAGAACGTCAAATTTATCCAAGCTTTCGTGTCACCGCGATCGATATACACTTTCGCGCCAACATGGACGATTCTGAAAGGTACACAAACATAGACCAAAGCTGGAAATTATTTGTAAACAATGTTGTTCTCTAAGTGGTTGTAGATAAGCAAGGTATATATCTTGCTTAATGATCTGCTGTCTTCATGTATGCAGTCCAGCTAGATTTCACAGTTGCATACGTGTCGATCAGATAATATCTGGACCAAAGCCAGCAGAGCGAAGGCCGAACAATAATGACCAACTAATGTTGTGAACACGGCTTCTCAGCGGTTCTCATTTATTTGTTATTTTGTTATGTATGTAAAACTGTTGTGTTGGGCTAATCAAAACATAATGTTAACGTCAGAAGCACATTACGACCAAAAGTCAATTCAATCGTACATCGAGAAGTAGATGTGATTCAAGATAATACAAATGTAATATTAGAATGATAGTAAATGTTATGCAAATTATCTGTGACTCTGTTGAGGTTTAATGGGTGTTACCTTGTATTTGTCTATTAATTAATAAGTTATTTTCTTGCAGGTGTATTTGATTGAGAGGGCTCACTCTCATTCCTTGGCAACCCCCTATATCAATTATCAATCCATGTTAGGAATTGCAATGGATGAAGACGTAACAGATAAGGGAAATGAGCAGGTAAATAAAGGAATGATAACTACAAATGATTAAAGATTATATAGTTTGCATGCAGGGAGTACTAGTCCAGTCATTCTGTACCACTGGCAATCTGTACCAGTCCACCTGTACCAAGATTAGGTTATCCGTACAAATAATTCCAGTTCTATACCAAGGATTTAAGTTGTTCTGTACCAGGGGCAAAGTACCAGGTTGGTACTACTGTCTTGCTGTGCATTTCTCTTTCCTACAGAGATAGTGTCTGATCATGACGATGTAAGCACTTGCTACTATATGTGTTTGAGTACTTGAACAAGTTGTTCAATATCTTAAGAGGTAAATGAATCCCAAGACTTAATTTTTCATTGTGTAACAGGACTCAGGAAAAAAAATGCAACGGCCAGACTGGGATTCAAACCCTGGACCTTGTGAACTCTAGATAAACACTCTACCAATTGAGCTATCTGGTTGCCAACAATCGGCCCAGTTGTGTTCGGCTACAAAATCAATAGTACCAACAAATAAAATTGATATCTAATAGAGCTAGATTGGCTCGGTGCACAAGACGGGTGATTAGATATATCAATTGTTATACTCCACAGAGACCAAAATAGCTTGAATGTGGAGATATTTTCAGTTGCAATTAAATTTGTATATCCCAGGTTAGAATATTGGTTTGGTCTGATGGATTTATCCCCAACCCCATACTAGAATGTATTACAAATGTATCCTCAAGATAATTCCTTTTTCATATTCATGAAATATGACACTTTTATAATTCCTTAAAATTTGTAACATGCAACATATAAATTCACAGTGATTCTGTTTCATATAGAAATCATATTATAAATAAAATTCATACAGCATAAGTTCAGTCCACAACTGTTAATTTTTGTTGTTGTTGTAGATATCAAATGATTTGCAGTCTCCCCAGAGATCTATCTTGGATTTCTTCAAATCCCCAGACAAAATCAAACCTGCCAAGAAGCCCACCAGTCTTCTCTCCTTCTTCGGAACAGCACAGCAGAAGGACACAGAAAAACAACAGGTTTTAAATCTGATAAATTTGACTGTCTATTTATTCAAAGTGATTGTTTTGTGAATTGCAATCAAACCTTTTCCTCACAGACTTTGTCATTGACACCGTCACGGAACATACAATGATTAATACTAAGTAATCTGACTTGGTTATCCAAAGCTCTAGTATACGTACAAGTTGAAAAGATACTTGCTTGTCCTTCATTAATGTGATCAGTCAAGAGATTTATATCCCCAGCATGGAGTAGAAAACTATGGAGGGCATAAAACTCTATTTCATTAGAAATAAGGTGAAGCTCTACTACTCTAGTAAATTTTGATATGATAATGTAATAGTTCTGTATTTTAAGCAGTTTTAGAAAGGAATATTCTTCATTTGTGATTTATCAGTCAAATGATATTGTTATAACATAAATTTTACCATTCCAAAGGTCTAGTTAGGTTAGATGAATTCATTCGTCCTTACTGAAATCTGTTAGTCTTGACTAGGTTTACCAGGGCTTTATCCAGGTCCGTTTTACTTCCAGTGTTGGGTAAATTCCCCTCAGAAATCATGGTTAAATTTTCCTCTTTATCAATCATAATTTTCCTTTTTTTGGTTCTTAATTTCCCTTTAAACAAGAAATAATTAAATATAATGGATTGTCGAAGTCTAGTTTCTTCTGGTACCCATTGGTACATCGCTGCATACATCAGTTTTCAGAATCATAAGAATGTTTGTATTTGAAGGGGAATTTTCTTACCGATGGGAGAACCTTCACCCTCTNCCCCTCCCCTCCTTTGCTCTCCCCCTGGATTCGGGCATGCGGCGGGGATTTTCCCCTTAAATGGAAAAAGGGTAGTCAAATCTGTTTCCCTGATAAAGCCATGATAACAGTGAGTCTTGACTAGAGTAACAGTAAGTTTCAAACCATGCAGGGATGTACACCTCCATCAGCCTTATATCCATGGCTGATAGATTTCATACAGGCCTGGCGATAATTTTTAATACTTGCTATGACATAATTTGTCTGTCTTTGGCTAGAATACTGAATGTGACATTGTATACTTCTGCCCTGAATTAACTAACTTGGGGAAAGAAATCCGCAACAAAATGAACAAGATATGTAAGTTTGGGATGACAAAGTTTGAGTATACAATGGATACAATGGATACTTCTAACTTCTCTAGTTTTTTAACATGACTGCTGAAAGACTGGAAAAAAATTCCATCTATGGTTAAGTGTTAGTCTTGTCATTTAATTTACTTAGAAATACCCCTTTCAACATTATTTTGAACACATTTGGGCTGACTATTGCTCAGAAAATTGAATTAGCCTGTAATTCTAAGTCAATTCATAAGGAACAGTTATGACAGAAGGTGTTACCCGGTATACATCACTAATAAATCTTCATTTTCATCACTTTACAGCTTAAATGCTTAAATGGAGTAGAAAAACAAAATGGAGATCTTGCTGATAAAAAGGTTGAAAAGGGACCTGGCAAGAAACGCAAACAAAAAGACAGAGAGACGGAGAAAAATGATGCAGATGATTTTGAGGAAGAACAAATTGGTAAAGGAAAGAAGAGAAAAAAGTTTGATGATAAATTCTCAGAAAAGAAAGAAGAAGGAAAGAACAAAGATGAAAAAGAAAAATCGGCTATTCGTAATTCTAGTTTGGTGAACGGCAGTATTGATAAGGTTACAATTAATGAGTTAGGTTCAAAGCTTGAAAGTAAAAATAAAATGAAGGAACGAAAAAGTAAAGACAAGGGAAAAACAGCAAAATCTGTTTGTGAAGACAATGAGGCTGGTGATCAACACGATAAACCAAATTCTGGAAAACAAAAAGTCAAAAGTACACATAAGTCTGATGAAACAAAAAAGAAATTGTCTGAACAAAAAGACAGAAATATAGATATTGCAGATACTAAGACTTCAAAGGAATCCAAGAAAAAAGAAGAGGATGAAATGAATGAAAGTGAGGTAAAATTGGAATCAAAAGAAACAGTATCTGAAATGTGTTACGAAGATTTTATCAAAAGTTTAGGGAATAGTGTGTCTAAAACTGACAATCACGAAGACGGAGAACCTGATGTCACAGAGAAAATGGCAAATGGCAAAACAGAAGAAGAAATTACAGAAAACACAGAAAGTAAGGAAGACTTGTATATCAAAAGTTATCCAACAATTTCAAGTTTCTTTAACAAAGTCGATAAAGCCCATGCACCAGTTGTTCCCACTGACCCGAAAGTTCTTGGTCAGGTGACTGTCAAGGTAGATATACATTCCGAACCATCTCCGAATAACGGATTATCCAACCATGTACAAATCAAAGCATCACCGCTTTATCTCAAGAAAGATGAAGAAGAGATTGAAATTATTAGCTCAGAGATCGTAACGATAGATTGTACACCCTCAAGTAAGAAATCACTGTTTGGAGTAAAAAAATATCCATCTGATGTGGAGTGTGAGATATTTAAAAACAGAAATGAAAGTCTAGCGGAGACTTTGTCATCCTGTGAGGACAGCTGTATGTCAGAGGACAGTAGTGTGTGTGTTGTGGAAGAGGTGGAGGATGTCAGCATCTTGGAGAAGAAGAAATGTTTCCTTCAGAGCGCCACTGTGCCCGAGGTACCAGCTAAAACCACTCAGAGGACACTCAGCTTCTCCAAGGCTGGACTACAAGTACAGAAACCAGTGGTGAGAATTGTCAACGCTATATTAACTTCTTTGTTAAAAAAACAATTATTTTTCAGTTGCTTTATATTATTTTACTTTATTTTATCAGGTATAAAGATTTTTCCTAAAAGAATTTTTGGATGAACTGGTCCAACAAGATTGAAGTACAATATTTTGTGTCCACATGACCACAGAATAATGATCTAAACAATTTAATGACAAAAATGAAAAACAAATTGGAATTTGGAAAGTGGGGAACTTTAGTGATAATCAACCTTGTTTGTCTTTATCAGAAACCAACACACTCCACAAGAGTAAGGAAAAAGGACTGTCCAACCTTGGATTGTGCTCCTGTGTTCGAAAGTACACCTGAAAAGAAGTGCAAGCCTGGCAGGAAGCCTAAAAAGACGTTTGATCTAGATGATGATAAAGAGAACAAGAGAGGTAAAGAAACACCAAACAAAGCCAGAACTCCTTCCAAGAAATCTACGAAGGACAGAGTAACGAAAACATCAGCAACAGAGAAAGGGAAAGAAGATGTCTGTGATCGCAGGACTTCTCTTCGGTCCCGATATCGAGTTGCAATCATTGGTGCAGATGAAGGGAAAAAAACTCCGATTAGAATGAAGTTTAACAGGTAAGGTCAAGATATGATGTGTTGCATTGGTACTTACTTACTTACTGCCCATTACGCCCAGTGGCGTGTGGGGCAGCAAGGCCTGGGTGCATGTCCAAAAGTTGAGTTGGGAGACCACGACCTGTACATAATGTAGGTCAATTTTATGTATTTTTTCTATAGTAGATAAACAGCAGCGATTAAGGTTTGAATAGTGCTTTGAATGCCAGATATTGGCTAAAAACCATATTAATGTAGTCCAAATAATAATAATTTGGCTATATACATATTTAGTGACTTGTAAATTAAAAACCTGCTGAGGAATTTGACTGATGATTTGTATGTTTAACGCACAGGTACAGTAAGAGTAGCAGCAGTGGGGTAGAAGAAGGCGACAACTTTACTCCCCGCAGTTCCAAACAGACCAAGGTAACACACCCAACAATTTGTAATATATATTCAGATCATATTCATTCGAAGAATAATCCCTAGAAAAAGCGGGAGAAAGGATCATTGTATTGCAGTTCACCTTTTGACACAGCATTAAACTATTTGTTGACCCTAATGACTTCTTATGTGTTGAATTGATGCAGCATATTACAAAGATAGAATCCCTGGTAATTTATTCAGTCCCCCGGCCCCAGGACTATTACTGGAGGGGACTCGTAGGTTTGCACCCATCAGTAACTTCAAATGCAAACAAAATAAGTTTCATTTGAATTGTTTTGCAATTAATATTGTAAGAGTAACATTTGTTAAACCTTTTGAACTTATAATGTGGAGAGATCTTAATTACAGTGTGTATGTTGTTTCCTTGCTATCAATCTCTTTAAATAAATGAAATGTTATCAAACCTTTTTATGATCACTATATGTATAAAAGCTGTAAAAGAATTGGAATATTAGTCCTAATATGACTCGTTGAAGCTACAATATCAGCAGCAGAAATTCTTCTGATTATTCTCTTGTTTTCCATATGGTTATAACCTAAAAAACAAAAAGTGGGAAAATGTCTTGCATTAGGACAGTAATCAGAAATTTGCTTCACCTGCAATTGTTGTAGTCTGTCAGATTAAAATAGTTTTTGGATATATTTTCTTTTCAAAGAAAAATACCAAGCTGTCTAAAGCAAAGGAACTGCTACAAAAGGCAAAGCAGAAAAATACCAAGAGCACTAAGGTTCAGAAATCAATTAAGCGGACTAAGAAAGGTGCAAAGAATGACGAGGAATCATCTGATGATTCCAAACCCGTTGGAAGGAGAAGGAGCTCTAGACTGTCTGACAAAGATTCTTTGGTTATCTTGGACAGCGAAGGTAGTGGGGATGAAGTAGACGGTTGTAATGTTAAAACTCCGAAGGCCAAGAGTAAGACAAAAACGAAAGGAACCAAAGCTACACCAGCAAAAGCTACACCGAACAAAGGGACACCCAGCAAGGGAAGAAAGACACCTTCAAAAAAGTCAGGTCTGTTGATGCATGTCAGGTTCACAAGAATTTCATTTTAATGAAACATAAATTGTTGTTTCAAAAAATTAAAGGCTATACATTGAAGATAATAGGAAGCCATGTTTTGTTTTTAAATAGTCAAATGAAGGAATTTGTTTCAATTTGTATTTTTAGAAATACCAATTTTACTGACAAAATCTGGAACACTCTTTAATATTATTCCCTTGCAACAAAAGTTTGAGGGGATATAGGATTCAGCCTGTTCGTACGTAATGTGCCTATGTTACACTCCTTGTCATCACTCTAGCGACTTCATTTCTCAATGGAATTTCATGAACCTTCTTACAAGTGTTTTGCATGGCAATGCCTTGAACAATTCTGCATTTCTGGTTTCTACGTTGAAGGTCAAGGTCACTTACTATTTTTAGAAGAACTTTGTCATCGCTCTAGCGACTTCATTCCTCAACCAAATTTCATGAAACTTGATACAAGTGTTTGGTATGACAATACCCCTGAATAAGTTTGCATTGCGGGTTACTGTGTTAAAGGTAAAGGTTACTTTCACAATGTGTGAATGCGAGGGCATTTGTATCGCTTGTGATGTGTATGAAGCTTTAGCAAAATGAAAATGTTTCCTTCCTACCATGATGCTATGAGAACTGAAAGCAGCCATTATCTTGTAGAGATATATGATATGTAATAGAAACATGTCATGCAAAAATAAATTGATTACAGTCACAAAGAGATGGCAAGTCAAATCTATACAATTAAGTTTATAATAGTCTTTGTAACATAATTCACTATCAAAATACATTTGATGCTAGTTGCTAATAATTTCACAAATTATTTTAAAAACAAGATAATATTGAGAGAAAATATAATGGTTGTGAAATTGAAATTCTGGAAAAAAATCATTTGGTTGTTAAATAAGATAGGAATTACTCTCAAATTAAGACAAAAACATATGCACATGCAAATCTTTTGGCCTATTTTACAAATGTAATATACAGTGATTTTCATATTTGTGTGAAAATTAATTCAGGAAGTCATATTCTATTGCATACTTACCTTTGATGTTAATCAATCAGTACAAATTGTTCAATATGATCTTCTTTGATAATTTACTTATTAACACAATTTAACAGGTAAGCTTGCCTCTATCTTTATGAGTGGAAAAGAAGTCAAGGAGAGGAAACCAGCAGTAGTGTTAGATCCAGAGGCTGAAAAATTGAAGCGTGCGTTTCTGATGAGTGGTGTACCAGAGGAGCTGCGACGTCAAACAGTCACGACGAATGATGTTATGATTGTTGAGGATTACCCACCCCTTCCCACCATCAACCACACCCAACAGAGGGAGCCACAGGCAACTAACAGACATGGGGTCAAACTTTGGGACCTGGAGAATGTCACCCTTTCCAAACTGGGAGCAGACATCAGGGGTCTTCCTGATGGGCCTGTAGAATGGAGATTGGGTCTCATCAGCACCGATTCAAACATCTCCGACAGTAGTCGTATCAGGGTAGGTCATAGGTTGGGGTAATTTGACAGATATTCTAAATCTGTCAAATCTTAAACCCCTTGTGGAGAAGAATTTGACCATTCACAATATTTGGTCTGTTTAGTCCAAGGACAGTGGTGTTTCATTGGGAATATCATAATAGGATGTGAGATTTTGAACAGTAAATTACATCATAGTTCCAAACAGAAGTTAGAAATAGATGTTCAAAATGGAAGCTTGAAATAGGTTCGAAATGGTAGCTCTTCTTAAAATATGAAATTTCTTAATGTTTTTATACGACCCTGCCTCCCATGTTTTATTTTCTTTCCTAAGTTATATATATTTGAACATATTAAGAGAACTTCAAACTAAAACATACTATCAGAGGCGACCGAATAAATTAGATTGATAGGACAAAATTTGTGATATAATTTGATAATTATGGAACAATAACTTTCCTAGGTACACAGGTGAAACTTTGTTACATAAAATAAGAATTTGCATTTAGTATATTACTTCATAGAATATGTTTTGCTGAACACTTTTTGTTTCATTTTAAGGAATTCCAAAAACATTCAAGGATAGAGGATGAGGATGTTGAGAAGATTTTAGCTGAGGTATCATCCTTTTGTCCTACCTACCCAGTGAGGAAGGTGTTTTCTGTCCTCAAGATGAAGAAGGATGACTTTGAACAGGAAGGTATGCCAGTGCCCCTTTCATTTTTGTCTCGCCGCAAATACTGGATGCAGCCTACCTTTCATGGTCTATTGACTTTGTCGGCATCTCCATCAACATTAAGTTTTTGCATTTAAGTTAGTTTCTTTGAAACTAAAACTGCTAGACCAAACAAACTTGACATGTGCATCGATGGTAAAAAGCGGGACACAGGCTAGACATATATATCTGAATGGCTTGCATGCAGAAATTTTAAAATGAAATTAACAATCAAAAGTGGCAAATCATTATTAAAACATACTGTAATTGCCCTAAGAATTTAATAGGTAACATTTCTACACAAGTTATTGCTTTCTTGGAATGACAAGTTTTCAATTTGAATATTTTTAGCCAAGGAGGCAGAACAATTGGAAAAGAAAATGGAGAATCTGACAGCTGAGGAAAAATCTCACGAGAAGGAAGCACCTCGACGAAGTCTGAGGAAACGGGTGAGCCTTGAACTGCCTCAGGTCGTAGAACTCGGGGGCAGTCCCCCTCTCCAAACAACTGGGGATGGACCATCTGCTGAGGATATTGTCAATAAACAGGAAACAGGTGCGTATACTAATTAATCTGTAAAATGTTTGGTTATACAGTATTAGATATTCATTATGCCTGAAATAAATCATAAGTACACAATGAATATGTAGCACAAACATTAGGTATTGCAATTCTTCTGTAAACAATAAGTAGAATGAGGCTTATTAGGTCCAGTCTTCACTCTGACAGATGAAGAATTGCTTTATCAGGATTATAAACCTTAAAGGTGTAGTAAACTGAATGAAGAAAAAAGTTTTTTTTTATTTATTTATTTGTGAACCCCAGGTTACACTTTTCAGATTTTATGTATGTTTATTTGACAATTTGCTTCTGTATAGTTCCCACAGTCAGTTGGACCGACAAGTACCTTCCTCTACACTCTGCAGAGGTGGTTGGCAACACAGCAAAGGTGAGGAAGTTACAGAGCTGGCTTGTGGAATGGAAGCAAAGGCTGGACAAGGAAGCTCGCAAAGCCAAGAAACTACAGATAAAACAGAACAAAGGCAAACCGAGCAAGGAATCTGGTAAGACTGGGGATACAGTGAATCTCTGGCTGGATTTTACAATTAGAAACTACAGAAATACTACCTGTAATTGGTATTCATAAAAGGTAAAGGTCATGAACGGGTTGTAGTTCTATAGTTGGTTGTAAAAGCCTATCATAGGCTCTTGTTGCCATGTTTTAACCATGTTCCGACTTTTAAATAAAATTTACTTGACTTGGCTTGGATTGAGTGTATCTATCTTGGTGAATAGTGTTCACTATAGGTAGTAAGGGCCAAGTTTTATGTGTTATATAGAATGTGTGTTGTTTTAGGTGATTTGACATCCAGATTTCAATATTTAAACTTTTTTTCATAGTTTCTGTCAGAATAGAAGAGAAAAACAAAAGCAAAGCAAGTTAACAGAATAGGACATACCATATCTGATTACATTTCCACTAAATGAATTTAAAATTATTATTTTTTGAGCTGAATTTGACATTTTTGTTGTTCTTCTTGTAAACCAGTGTACAGTGTTCCTGATTTCATTGTTAATAAAACGTGTTTTTTTATTGAATACAGGTAGCAGGGATGACTGGTGGGGTGATGATAGTGACTTCGCCCTGGATAGTGACGACAGCGACGATGACGAGGAGGACCGTCTATGTAACACTGCCATGTTGTGTGGACCCAGTGGTATTGGTAAAACAGCCTCTGTCTACGGGCTGGCACACGAGCTTGGCTTCAAGGTGAGCACCACAAATTTCATTTTTGATTAGACAAAAAGAAAGAAAACTACTGTTTTCATCGCTGACAAGTCAAGTTAATTCATACTTTGAAAGAAAACAAACTTCTAATAGAAATGTATTATTATATAACTATATAGGTGTTTGAAGTAAATGCTTCCTCAACTCGGAATGGAAAGCGGATCCTTGCACAACTGCAGGAGGCGACACAGTCACACCAGGTGTCTCGGGGGACTGACACACCCACAAAATGTCCACCCTCAAGTGAGTTGGTATTTTATTATCGCACAAAATCTTGCAGCCAGAAGCACGGTTTAAAAATCCTGATTCCTAAGAATTAAGATTCACTCAATTTGAAGATATTTGTATGCACTTCTATTTGTTTGGAGCAAGTTTTTAGGTCAAATTACTGAAGTTTTATTTTTTACATGAAACAATCCTATATTGTTTCCCTTATAAATGGGGCTTTAGCCATACTTATGTTTTTGTGTTTCAAAAATTTTATCAGTAGTTTACTATGATCTTGAAAGACCAGTATTACTAGGCATTTGAATGACTGATAAATACAAATGTTTCAAAAAATATCTTCGACAAAAGAATCAGAATTATGTGTGTGTGTGTTAATTATTTTTTTAGAATCAGCCAGTGCATCACAAGCAAATGCAAAGATACCATCAGCATTCTCAGGTTTCTTCAAACAAACAACTTCCAACTCCTCCAATAAAACTGCATCAACTAGTACGGGAAAAGAAGGAAAAGGGAAGGGAAAAGATGACAAAGATCCGGGTAAGCTGAAAAAACGTAAGAGGAATTTGGAGGTTGCCGAAAATCTAGATGAGAAAACACCTAAGAAGAAAAGTAGGAAAAAGGAGAAGCCTGATATTAGTGTTCCCATAGACCCCAAGGCTGATGGCAGCTTAAACCTGTCCAGTACATCGCTCATTCTGTTTGAGGAGGTATGTGTGAAATAACTAAATTGGATACTGTCATGGTTGTAATGATTGTAAATACCCCCCTGTTGGTAATGTATATTTTAGGAAGTTTAAAGATATAGTCAAGGATTCATTTCTGCAAGAGATGTAATTTTGTTGTAGCAAAATGATGACTCATATTCGTCATAACAGTTTGTCTAGGAAAGAAAATATTGGAAAAAGTTTCAACATTTTCATTTTGTATAAGCCACCTTTGAAATTGTAATTTAAAACTGCATAAGTTACATATTAAGTAGAATGTCAAGTTTTGTACACAGTAGTTATAATTTTAACACAAGATATTATTAATAATGACAAATCCATTTGTAATATTATTATAAGCTTGAGGCTTTGCATGACCTATTTCTCTGTTGTGGATTTTTCATCAATTATTTTTTATTTTATTTTTTTCCCTCCAGGTAGATGTTGTGTTTCCCTCAGACCATGGCTTCTGGTCAGCTGTACAGCAATTCATGGCCACTACCAAGATACCCATCATACTGACCACAAGTGACGCAGGTCTGGTCAATAAGTTTGAGGGACGGTTTGACCACTACCGTTTCAAGACACCACCTTATGTAAGATTGAACTCAAATTCAGGCATTCAAATATGATTGTGTTTGGATCATCAAATAGTTGAAATATTTTCACAAGCATAGGATTCTAAAAATTTGTCGATAAATAAATTCAGTTTAAATATTCACGAAAGACCATTTAAAGATACATTCATGTTTCAAGTAACATGCTGAAAAAGTCAGTGTTTAAAATCTATAATTTATTGCAAAAAGCTTTGCAAAATATTTTTTAATGAGGAATGAAGTGGTTTACTGTTCAACAAAAATAAAACTGAAAGTTTAATATAATTTATGTTTTCAGAGGAATTTGGCTGTGTATCTACAGCTGATGTGTCTTGCAGAGAATGTGAGAACAGATTTCTGGGACATGTACAATGTTGTGTCACTGTGTTGTGGTGACATTCGTCGATGTATCCTCTCCCTTCAGTACTGGGTGATATCAGGTGGAGGTGTACAGGGCATTCGGCGCAGCATACACAGAACTTTGAAAGTACAACCACAGTTACAAACAGATAAATTGCCAGAATACAGTGTCGTAAAACCCACAGACACGAAGAATGACCATAGGGCATCACCACAAAAACAATTGTCAAGTATCATCGATGATGATGACGATGACTTTGTATGTCTGAAGCCTGTCTGTCAGAAACGAAGCAATAGGTTTGTCACTGATGACGAGGAGTCCAATAGCATGCCTCTCGTGCCTCTACGCTTCAATCAGGATCTGGTTAACAGTGGGAATAAAGACACAGACATCGAGAAAGAACGGCTTCCTCTAGTGCATCTGGGGCACACTACGTCGCTACAGGGTCTGGTTTTACAGGGCCACAACAGCGTCATATCTCTCCTGAAACAAATGTTAGAGGTAGGTACAGCGAAACCTTTCTTGACCAATCAGTTACAGTGTTCGATTTAAGTCCTGGGGAGTGTTGGTTTTTGTGGACAAACCTGTTCTACTTTTAAATGTAACACTTCAGGGATAAAGCAAATGTTAATGCAGACCTTAAGCTTGAAATGCTTTGGACAGGCTTGCAAGAAAGCTGTTTTCTGACAAGCCTTCACAAAAATAATAAAGGGAACAGACCTAGTGATCAGATGTTGCATCACTAATGATCTGATATTGCATCAAATTACTAGGTTTGTTTCCATGTCGTAAATAACTTGGGTTCAACCGTTAAAAGATTTTATCTTCATTTGATTTGGTTTATAGCATCCCCGGCAGAAAGTGATTAAATTTTCCAAAACTAAAGGTGGAGAGCCCTCAGTGCAGAGAGAGCTATCTATTTACAGTGATTTATTATTCTGAAATTCTTCAACACTACTCAAAGCTTGCTCATATCAAATATCTTATTAATCTCAGATATTTATTGTGTATGGCATTATTGTTGCAATAAGCCATTTATGGAATACATCAAACTAAATGAACTCATATCCATCTTATTTCCAGATTGGTGATGATAGTTTGGTGCCGTTGGTGAGTCGGGTATGTCGTCAGTACCGCTCACTCAAGTGTGACCTGCTGTACCGCCACCATCTCTCCCTCCTCCCGTTAACCACTGTGGAGTCGCTACCACTGAAGCCCACACTTTCTACGGTCGACGATGTCCAAAAGAAATCTCGTCGCAGGATAAAGACTTTTGATCTCTACGATAGCGAAACTTCTAATGATGGACATGAGGAGCAGCCAATGGAATGTGATGAACCACAAAATGAAACTCTGACCAAAACACTAGACCCTACAGAATCGGCATTAGTGGGGAAATCTCTCAATTCGTTTTATAGTTTTTATGACAATTTATCATTAGTAGACTCTATGGAAGTGTTAGAGAATAGGTTAGCATTACAGGACACGTCTGGGTCAAAAGTTGAGTCGGACTTTCACTCGGATATACAGCTGTACAGTTGTAGGAGGTTATACAGGACACATTTAGCAATGAAAAATGACATTCTGTCGTCGGAACACATCTGTGTGCCCATCACACAGGACACACCCAGGATAGAGGAGCTCCAGGGCAAGGACCCTCTCAGTACTAGGTAAGTAGTGAAATGGTCAGTCAGAAACTTGACATGTATTATAGTTCAGTAGGATTTAACAGTGCTGTTTGTTTCACCTGTTGAGCAAGCGAAAGAGAAATCAACACAATGCATTAAAAAGAGATGTACATAAAAATGAAACAGCAAAATTACTTAATTTAATCTCTAAATTATTCCGCTCTTTAGAAATCAAAAGCATGATAGACTTGATGCTATATGTCTATAATGAGCAAATCAGATGTACAAAGTAACAGTAAACAATGTATACATTTTCACATGAAGTATAATGAGCAAATCAGATGTACAAAGTAACAGTAAACAATGTATAAATTTTCACATGCAGTATAATGAGCAAATCAGATGTACAAAGTAACAGTAAACAATGTATAAATTTTCACATTAAGTATAATGAACAAATCAGATGTAAAAATCACTATAAAACTGATCAGACATGCAAATTGGCGTGGGTGGCGGCATATTACAGAAAGTAAACTTTACATTTTTTATTTCCATTCACCACAAGCTAATATGACAGCTGCACATGTTTGATTACAAGACGTTGATGTATTGGCTGTGTAGTAGGGCTTACAGAAACTGAAGTTTTTTTAGTTTATTAATATAGGCTAGCAATATGAGTTATTAGTTACTCTGCGATAACAAATATGGTCTGTGCCACCATGAAACAAACCTATGGGGCTCAATTTAGATTTAGTCCTTGTCATGTTGTTAAGCTCCATTCGATTATGTAGGAAAAGTTATCTGAAGGTATCAAGGTCACATAAACAGGTAGTTCTGAAATTGCGATGGTCACTTCAGGCAGGTTAGATTTTATTTGTCACTGTATTTTTTGAGATGATTCATTATCTTTTAACAGAATGACGTTTTGACTGTTAAATCATCCATACGTTTCTAATTAGAGTCGGTTTGCTATGTTCTCACAACTCCCATAAAGTAGACAGCGACTCTTTGGCAATTGAAAAGTGCCCCAAAAAATCATATTTGAAAAGATATTTTTAAATAATCAATGTATGTCAACATAAATGTTAAGTCTGTACCAAAGATTTGGAAGGGTAGTCTGGTTTGGAGAAATACACTTTTTATGACTTGTACTTCACAGTCTTGACACCCCCACCTGTAGGGCAAGCAGCAATGTGCGGACTAGTCTACCCCTTGGACTCCCAGTGAACGGACTTCACCAAGAATATCTACCCACGCTCAGAGCCATATGTAAATCTGAACAGTTACGGGAACAGGCCAAAATCAAACGCCGGTACGTATTTTAGCTTTGATGGGTTTAGACTTGAGAGCAAGTACAAAACTTGACTTTGAGCAGGAGTAGTTTCATGAATATGGGGCCTCGACCCAATTTTACCCTATCCTAACGGGCTTATTACGTTCAAATTACAATATTGTATGCAATTAGAAATCAATCTGATTATTTTTGATCTTTACCCTATAGATAGACTAAGACATGGTGTTTTTTTGTTGACAATTTTGTTTTTTTAAATAGCACATATTGTTTATAGTCGAGCTCTTGTGCAAGTTAATAAAGTCATGAGTTTATCTATGAATCTTGAAACTTGATGTTACTAGAAACTTCCATTATATTTTGTGTATTTAATACAGATTGTAATTTGGAACATGTTTTTACAGGTTCCAGCATTATTTGGACGGTATTGGACTAACACTGAAGGACAATACACTGTCTGTTCTGTGTACAACATTCAGGTGACAACAAGCAGACTGAAAAATGGCAACAAATCTCAATTCTACAACTTGTAAGGACTGACAGGATTCATGGGATCACATCACTGTCAATGGTCTGTACGACTGTCAGATGTGGACTGATGTACTGATTCACAGGATCACATCACTGTCAATGGTCTGTACGACTGTCAGATGTGGACTGATGTACTGATTCACAGGATCACATCACTGTCAATGGTCTGTACGACTGTCAGATGTGGACTGATGTACTGATTCACAGGATCACATCACTGTCAATGGTCTGTACGACTGTCAGATGTGGACTGATGTACTGATTCACAGGATCACATCACTGTCAATGGTCTGTACGACTGTCAGATGTGGACTGATGTACTGATTCACAGGATCACATCACTGTCAATGGTCTGTACGACTGTCAGATGTGGACTGATGTACTGATTCACAGGATCACATCACTGTCAATGGTCTGTACGACTGTCAGATGTGGACTGATGTACTGATTCACAGGATCACATCACTGTCAATGGTCTGTACGACTGTCAGATGTGGACTGATGTACTGATTCACAGGATCACATCACTGTCAATGGTCTGTACGACTGTCAGATGTGGACTGATGTACTGATTCACAGGATCACATCACTGTCAATGGTCTGTACGACTGTCAGATGTGGACTGATGTACTGATTCACAGGATCACATCACTGTCAATGGTCTGTACGACCGTCAGATGTGGACTGATGTACTGATTCACAGGATCACATCACTGTCAATGGTCTGTACGACCGTCAGATGTGGACTGATGTACTGATTCACAGGATCACATCACTGTCAATGGTCTGTACGACCGTCAGATGTGGACTGATGTACTGATTCACAGGATCACATCACTGTCAATGGTCTGTACGACCGTCAGATGTGGACTGATGTACTGATTCACAGGATCACATCACTGTCAATGGTCCGTACGACCGTCAGATGTGGACTGATGTACTGATTCACAGGATCAAATCACTGTCAATTCTCTGTAACACAGTCAAATGTGGAACGACACTGATCCACAGGATCAAATCACTGTCAATTCTCTGTACCTCAGTCAAATGTGGAACAACAGACTGATTCACAGGATCAAATCACTGTCAATTCTGTGTACCTCAGTCAAATGTGGAACGACAGACTGATTCACAGGATCAAATCACTGTCAATTCTCTGTACAAAGTTCAGGTGATGGCTAGTAAACTGAATTACAAGATCAAGACTCCTTTCTCTACTAAGTTTAGGTGGCACACTGACTCAAAGGATCAACACAATGTCAGCTCGCTGTACGTCACTCAGATGAGTGGCAGATTTGATCATAGGATCAACACTATCAATTATATTGTATGGTGTTTAGGTGACATCTGAAAAACTGGATCACAGGATCAACATTTCAGTTCTCTGTACCTCGTTCAGGTGACAGACAAAATTACAGGATCAATACTACTGGAGACTGATGCACAAGATCAGCATATCATTTCTCTCTACGGCATTCAGCTGATGAGTAGGAGACTGATTCACGAGATAATCACATCCAGTGACTTATGCCTTGTATCACAGGAAAAACTAATTTTAGTGTTTTTTTGGTATTGAGAAAAGTTTCAATCATATTTATAGTTACCATTATATTTAATTGTAGTGATAAATCTACCTCCATATCACACACATTTATAAATATTAATTGAAGATTAAAATCAAATTATTTTATTTCATATTAAAGCATTTTTTTCTCCAAATCAGATAGAAGAAAGGGAAGTTTTTACTCAGTAAGAAGAGTTAATTGCATGAAGGCCTGAGAACTGCATGTGGCCATATGAATAGACTTAACTAGTTTTAATCTGATCCATGATTGACCAGTCTCATTCCTACTAGCTCTGAATGAAGTATGAATTCTTTGTTCACTTTCATTTTGATCAGAAAGATGAAATTTCACTGTCTAAATAGTGGATCTTGATACATATTGTTGACACCAAATTATCTAAATCGTGACTTTGGGCATTACCTGGTATCTTAATATTTTTATCAATCATAGAAATAATATTTATTTGTTGGATTTGATCCATTGCTAGGTGGAATGAATTTGATAGTTGGTCAACAGGTTTATTTTATGATATTGAAGAAGACTTAAGTGATACCTTTTGTATTTGAATGCATGCATTATTCGTTGATACTGGTACACATTTTTAAAAATCGAATGAAAAATGTAATCGTGTGTGAATTGTCAAGCAAAGAAATTGACAAGTCAAGTTACTTTCAATTTAAGTTCATGTTTTTTATATTTATTTAAGAATAGTATTTAATTTATGTTTGTAATATCAAGTAAAAAGAAGATTTTGAGACTATCTTACAGAAATGTAATAAAATTGTACCAACTTTAATCCAGTGTATAAGTGTTATTTGTGAGTCAAATATTATTAATCTCCTACTGGGGAATTCTTAAATTGATGATTGTATTAAATTCAAACATTTTTCAGCTACAGTATGAATAATATTAAATAAAAATGCTTTTTTACTCATTTCTATCCCATCATTAAATTCATCTTAATGAATTCAGAATTGGCTCTTCATGAGACCATATCTTAGGAAATAAAAGTGATAAACAGTCAATGGAGAAGATTTTAAGAAGAAATAATTTAAATTGCAGTTGAATCTTGTCGCTAATAACATGAAAATATATATACAATATAATTATATATATTCAAAGTGTTGTTACATTAGGTCTAGGGCCCTGTATCACAGTTTGTGCTAGGTGTGCTATAATGGGTATGTAGAAAGGTATCGCAATACATGTACTAGTAGACACTATTATTAAATACAAGAATTCCCACAGAATCATTTCTTGCCTGTGCCAGCTTTGACCATAAGCAACACTTAATTTGAGAATTACAATTTGAGCAAGTACAGAAATTAAACATTAATGATGACCTAATTTTTTTGACGTTTACGTATTTTCAAACAAATTAAAATTGGATTTCAAATTCAACAAACACTATTCTAAACCTTTGAATATATTGAAGTTAACAGGACTGGTTTAAAACAATGGAAAGTTCCAATGATTTTTTTTTCAATAAAATGTTCAGGAAAAAAATTGACGATAAAAATCCAGCATCAAAAGCAAGCAACCAAATTTCTCTTGCACTTCTTAGTTTTGGAGAAAGTGAGTTTACACAAAAACTAACATTGATGAGAAAACTGAGGAAGTCGCTGATTTATACAAACTACTAGGAGCCACACAGCAGTTGATGCTTGAAGTAAGATATACTACACGTACATAAGATGTTTCTAAGATGTAAGTTTAGTGGGCAAGACACCACAGCTTAACACTAAAACTGAACATTGATGAGGAAGCTGAAAGTCACTGGACCAGGAAATGTAGGTTTCATTCAGTATCTGATGCATGGATTGCAATGAAGAAGCCAAGATGGAACTATGGTCCAAGTTTTGATGGTGTAGTACTTGTACTACAGTAGAAACAAAGCTCACCTCCACGACATCCAAGCCCTCACAGTCGAGACAACAAGGTGAATATACCATTTGATATAGTTTTACTTTCTACACAATGTACATATTAAACGTGTCGCAACGTTTCAAGACCCACTGGTCTCTTTGTCAAGCTATGACGGAGTGAGTCAGTCGGTCTTGAAACGTTGCAACATGTTTAATATGTACATTGTGTAGAAAGTAAAACTTTAATATTACACATTTCCAAACTGATGAATCTTGTTGAAGATACTTGAATATACCATCGTTTTTACTGACCAAATATATTACAGATGTTCTCACAAATATTGTCTTATTTACACACTGATTTAATGTAAAACAAATTAAAACAAAACACTGGTGTTCATCAGTTATATTTTAATTTTTTGACAAAAAATCTCGCCTTCTTGCCTTGCCCGCAGAGAATGTCCCACAACGGACCAGAAGGCTTGTACTTTACATTCAATGATACAGCTATCACAGTGTCAACATATAAATAACATGCAACTGAAAATGCTACTTGTAAAATAACTTCATTGCCTCCATCATGATTTTACAAATTGCTGAATACATTTTTAGCAATCAAACATCAATACATTAGAAATCACTACCTCAAAAATACTGTAAAGTGTATGTAGGTATTTTCTTATAGGCTATGAATTTGCAATTTTCAATGCTCATTTAATACTAATATATATATTCTTTTAAGTTGACAGACCTGATCCCTATTCTGGTATTAAATATGCTGACTGTTTCCTGTTTTGTGGTAGAACAGAAGGGATGATTCTTGCCTGTTATTTTATTTTCATTTCCTGGTGAGAAGTCGCATAATAAGTTGGTGGAACAGGTGGAAAGATCACTATTGTGATTGCCTTGTTTTATGGCAAGGAGCCTGATTAATAGGTCAGAAGATCCTAAAGGACTCTCTCTGTTTAAGAGAAAAACTCCCCATCATACTGAACAAAACCTGGGGAAGCACCATATTTAATACAAGATTACAGACAAAATACAATGGTCAGTTGCACTAGAAATTTCAGCAATTCAAGATTCCAAGAAATAATAGCTGAATTGCACATTAAAGAATTACCGGTAGTAACATATTGTGCTATCATGAAATGGCAGAAAGAAGGAGATTACATAAACTTAGAGATACATATTCAAATGTACAAGTATTTGCCATTATTGACCCAGTAACAGAAATAAATTATGCCATGTTTAAAGCTATGTTTAATTTCATTTTTCCTTCTTATCTTTAAAGTTTTCATAGTGATGATGATTTATTGGTGTATCAATTCTTTGTGTGCAAAAAAATTGATATAGATTTCACAACAGTGTTGTACAAGAAGCATTCAAATTAACAATAAATGCCTAAAACAAAAACATGCTCAGGGGAAAAAGGCTTGGTATTAACTAATTTAAACCTCCATATACCTTGTGCAATGCAGGAAGCCATAGTTTAAAACGTTAAGAATAAAATTATGATCTGCCTTTACCTTATGAATAGTAGAAACAAAGTTCTGGTAATACTAACAACGTTAATGCCATCAATGGAGTCTTGTTTCAAATTGGAAAATCAGAGTTCAATCATCTAAAATGGTACTCAGTATTCTGACTAAATATGCAGATGAGAATTTCACAAATTATATAAATGTTAGCATTTTTTCTTTGTCTATATGTAACAATGGTTATTAAATATTTTCTTTTGAGCATGTTTAATTTTTAAGGAGACTTGTTTTATGGAGAGTTACAAGAATCTAGTGTGAATACTTTTCAGAACTACAATATTATTATTGTATTACGAAATATTGGAACATTGATTCATCCACCATTGCTTCAAAATCTTAATGAACTTACATTCATGAACTTAGCATAACATGTCTTGTTGTGCAGTACAACATGATTTTAGTATAACATGTCTTGTTGTGCAGTACAACATGATTTTAGTAGAACATGTCTTGTTGTGCAGTACAACATTGACTGTAAAAATACTTGATTGACTTTCATTTTAAAACAGCACACACTTTCATAATGCCAGATTCCAACAGTAGCTATTTTAATATACAAGACCTGTATTTTGAGTGTGTAATATACACAGTAACTGGCTTACATGTTAACTGACAAAAAAGTCCATCATTCATTCATTTCTCAATATTACATTCATAACTGGTTTCTGCGATACATGCAAACTTTATACAGCTGTAATTAGTATATGTTACAATAGCTTAACAATCTCACACATACATACTCCTATCCTCTTATATCTGATACATGACTGCCTGTTAATGAAAACACATTTGGGGAAGGGAAAGAATTATATTGCAATGAGTTGGGGAAGAAGGGTACAACAATGCTTGGAGGCTAAACATAATATACAGCAGTGACAGTAACCAAGTTAAAACTTGACAAAATGCTTGAACAGCACCATGCTACATTAGCCTGGAGTCTTTGTTTAGGGTATACCCCAGTTAAAAGGGTAGCTATACTTGGGAGCCTGCCTTAATGCAAGGACTCCAGGCGTGGAGACAGCTTTGATGATAACGCCTTTGTGAAAGCGGAACACATAATACAAGCTGGTAGCTATATATATAGTTACAAATACCATGTCTCATCTTGCATTCCCAATGACTCGCTCAGCACTGATAAACAAATAACATATATCCATTTACAGTACTGTCATGTTGTCATATTTTCTATATACTGGATACAGGATTTATTATTTTAGTAGTTTTATTTTCATGGTATGGTAAATCTGTAAATTTAACACAGCACTGAAGGCTTTCAAGCAAAATTTCATACCCAAGATATAGAAAATATCACTGTACCAAATCAAAACTGTCTAAGGTAGTGAAGCTGACCAGAATTATTTCGAAGGAGACTGGGATGTAAGATAACATTAAAAGACTATTAGTAACAACACTGAGTGACAAAATGCTCTAGTGTGTTAAATTAAAACAATTTTGAAATGTTGAAAATGAACACTTTTTTCTGACAACCTACCGTTTCATATTCATTTAGGAAAGACACAAATATTCTGGGATGCAAAAATATAGTTTCCTTTTTATATCATATTTAGAATATTTTAGAATATTTATTTCTAACTCCAGTCTCATGAATATCTTTGACAGTTATTATTCTTTTTCCAGAATGCAAGATTTCATTTCTTAACATTGATTTATATATTTATTATATATTGAAATTATTTGAGGAATCAAGCAACAAAAATATTTCATCACCAGTAAAAGTGGATTTATTTCGACAAAAATGACCATTTAATAGAGAACAGGTAACATACCAAAGACTAGAATTGGTATCCAGATGTCAACCAATATAACAAATTCATAAAGAAACAAACCTATTTGTGCTACTAAATATATAAATAATAACTCGGATACTCTAACTGTACTTTTACAATAACTATTCAATCGAGTGGTGTTACATTCTATGTCCATTGTAGATACATCCATGTATATTATATAGACGTAATCCAGCTTGTTTTAAATCGCTGATTTTTTTGTGAACATGTATTTTCACTTAAATCATATTTTCACATTTTTGCGTGAAACAAATTATGCAAACCCCGGAACAATAGCAGATGTATAAACATTTGCAAGATATCTAAATTACTCATCAACATTCCTCCGTAATTATCACAAAAATACAAATCTCACAAAAACGGATTTAGTGATCTTACAAATATAGCCGACAACTCCACACCCTATTAACTGTAAACCGTACCGCATACCATACCATTAAATGTTAATCACATTGGCTATTGTCAAGGAGATGAGGTATAGCATGTGTACTAAACTCGACCAGGAGCTTCAGAAAAACACGAGCCTTACAAACATCCCCACAGGGCTTTCCTGATAATCTCTTGCTGTATTGTAGCGCAGTTCAGTTTCGAAGTGTCCCATGTTTCATCTACTTCATGCAGAATGTCAGAGGTAATTATTAATGTGTCGTTCAACCTTTGGCTTCTCGTGTGACTCAGAGCTGTATTTTTTACCAGAAGAACTTTTTAGTGTAGTACATGTACTGGTAATCTGGGCACTCTGATCTTGTCAAAGTTCTTTATTCCGACACACCTTCACCTCCAACCTACCAGCGGCACCTAACTGTTCCCCTGAGAGAAACATTTTGGTTTACGCGTTCCACTCTGCTGATTTCAGTCCGATAAGTCCATGTGACATTTCTGTATTAACTTAATAGACCTCGAATTTCTTTGTGTATGTGGCACAGATAGTCTACGTATGAGGCACTGTTGTTGAGTCCTTTGTCCTCCACCAAGAAATGGTTGAACCAAGGTTCAAGCTTGTCCCTTTGTCTCACTATCGTTAACTGAAATTAGGTAAAAAAATATATTAACTACACAGTTAAATCCAGTCTATAACAAATACTTAAATACAAGCTGTCATATAAGAAATAGTCATCTGAAACTTATGTACTGTATACATGGACATTTTCATTGCAGTTTTTCGCCTTTTTGCCCTCCATAATGAAGCCAAATTTATGATTACACCGAACGTTTGTAAACAACATAGTTTACATAATAATTAAACGTGAAGGGGGAATTTAGTCATGGGCAAAATCAGATTTTACCGTCGAAGGGCTAAAATTTGACTTTGTGAAAATTTTCCGGTATAAAGTAATTCTCTTGAACGTTGTTTGGAAGTTATTTCTTCTGAATTAATACAAACAACTTTTATTTCTAAGTTGACACAACCTATTAATGCTTTCAGAATCTTTCTTTGTAACAGGTATGAACACTTATAATTCTGACTTACCTTCATATATCTGTGCCTTTCTTCTCGGACCTGTTGGATTACCTCGTTTACTCGTTGAGACAATGGATTGTCCAGTGCCAGCAGTTTACACTATAGAAAACATAAACCAGCATTATCATTTATATTGCTTTTCAATCTCAATATTTACCAGGAAACCCTTTAATAGCCAATAAATATAAATATCTAGATTTGTAAGTCATGATTGATTGATTTCTATCACTTTCGAATTAAAAGGAAAAGGCCATTAAGATAAGGACATCAATTTATGGGCATCTAATTGAAACACCATTGCTATAAAGATTGTTAGTTCCCTCAAGTATTTATACCATTTAGAGCAAGATTGTAACATCACTTTTTAACAGATTTTGAATGAATGTAGTATATCAATAACCGCAGAAAACACATGCACTGTATTTTACAGCTTCCGACCTCAAAAAAGAGAAACACAATTTTTTTTCTTGAACTTTTTGTCAAATCTGAATCCATCAGCCACAAGTGTCAGATTCCAGAAATGTCTCATTCTTAGTTCTAGGATTTAGATTTAGAAGTAGATATTTTCTCCAACAGTTAATGGTTTGCAGCATAATCAAACCCTAGAATATCCGGGAGGAAATGTGAAATCTAAGAATATTTAAGGACATTCTTTGAGTTAGTTTCACGATACTTTATCCGGGGTTTCATCTGTCAAATTAAAGATGACCAAGTAGAAAAAAATAAAGATCGAGCAGACCTCGTTTTTGTTGCACGTTATTATTGAAATTGGTCCGCATGTCGTTTTTACTCATTAGTCACCCAAGTCCCGAAAACTCTTGAATAAAGGTAAGGGATTGAGATACAGGCAAGCGTTAAAATGATTAGGACTTATTAGTCTTGTGTACAAATGGCGCTCATTTCGGTACAAATAAGGAATGGGGGGTTCGTGATTCTCGTCTGGAACATAGTGGGGGGATTTTCGGAGGCTTGCTCTATGATGGGTCTCTACACAACTATAAAGAGACAAGGTAATGTCCACAATGAACGTTTTACAAACTACACAATAAAAAAAAATCGCCCTCGTCTCATTTTTGCCATGTAAAATGAAAAAAAAAAATACCACCCTGCCGCATCGCATCTATTTTGAAAAAAATTGGCCTGAGAACAAAGTAATTTATTTTATTTGGCCTAAGGATGCTACATACCTTGTCTATGTCCACCTGTGCTGCACTCTGGACACTAAATATATCCTGTATCCAGTGGGGATCAACATTATGACCTATCCACATAAACATGGATATACCGTTCTCTGTAAAATAAAGTCAGGGTTACTGCTTTATAAAATGATCAACATACAAAGTCGCCAATATCAGACTGAATAGAAATCTTGTTTCAAGGATTTTTTATTATTAATATTACTGTGTTATTTATCCAAAATAATTTGATCTTTTAGATACAAAAAACGTGTCTGAACCAATGAGGTTGCAACTGGTATATTTTTATACATTTCCAGGATTTACTTCCCTGAACTTCAAGTACCTATTTTTATTATCGGGTAGACTGGATGAATCGGAAATGTGTCTCATTGATATATATGACAAACATGGTTCAAGCAGACCAAGTGTGACTCTGAACCTTCTGGTAAGCAGCTTGATAATGAATATCCATGCTATTTGTATACAAACCTAAAAGATAAACTCCATTATCCTGTAGCCTTTCAGCTGAACACCGTATGGATCTTGGCATCTTTGCTGCTGATTTCTCCAAATTGTGCTAAGAACATGAACATTAACAATGTCAGTTAATATAACATGAAAGTATAATTGAGGCTCAAGATATCATAGTAATCCCAGGAAAAATGTTATCAAGTTGCTATAAATCAATACTCCCCCTTCTCCCTACTCTTCTCCGAGACATGGTCTCCAAATGTACACATACCCTTTAAAAAACTTGGATAAAATGTTTTTCAATATTGTACAAAAGAGATGCATTTACTATTATTATCTTCTTGCGTCAGATCAAGACTATATCATAAACGATAAAAGTAGAAACATTATTATCTAATGATCGTTTCGCGTATTTGTATATGCATATTTTGCAGGTGATGACAATCCACTCACCAGAGGCATCAGTCGTGGATAAAAGAACACATGTGATGATTTAACGTCCATTGCACTTATAAGATGCATCAGGTAACTTCGGTCGTCTGTCGATATCTCTGACCCTGTAATAAATAAATCAACTACAAATTAATGACGACTCAATATGTGAAATGATAAGATTTTATTTCACCAATATCCTTTTTTGCCTCTTTCACAGTGTCATTTTTAACCAGCCTGCACTCTACATTTCCCTCTTCTTATATTCCAAATTGAACTTTTCCGATGTACTGTAAGCATCTCTCATCATTCCCAATTCTTCCTATCAACTTCTCCACCAATTCTAGTACATTGGCCCACACTTACCACCTTGTAAGCCGTCGCTCTTGATGATACAGTTGGAGTAAAGAGGGAGGAGCTTCATACACTCAGGCAGGATGAGTTGGCCTGCTGACGAGGGACTGGCACAGCTCTTCCTATAACATGCCAGTATCTGGGCAACCTGGTTCATCACATTTTCACGCACCTGGCGCGGGTTTGAATTGAGCGTCTCCCGTACAGCTGTAAACAAAAAGCATAGTTAGATTATCAGATTACCACCAAAATATAACAAATATACCAAACAGTAAAATTTTCATACACTAAATTTATTTGAACCCTTGCATATTTCAAAATATATTTACCAGCTTTTTAATTTGCCCTTTTGTTTGAGATCATGCTTTCTCAAATTCCTGACAAATTTTGTAAATTTTCAATCAGTGATGAATTCATCTCTGTATTTCCAGTTTACAGTACTGGTAAAATAAAGATAATGCAATAGACAAACCTTGTTTTGACATGAAGTTGACAAGTGTGTCAAGTTCACAGCTGCGGAACAGGTCGGCCATCTGCATGCAACAGTTGAAGGAAAGGTTGTGTATCCTCAGGCGCCTCTGCCCGCTGACACTAGTAAAGAGCACTGCTATCTGCACAGACAAAACACAAATTATTTTAGCCTGAACTTTCTCCCAAATGAGAGGCTACTTTGATAACATGACAATAGTATTGGCAGCACAGGATTCAATATCTCAACCATTATGACTGAACTTACAGGTAAAGTAGAAATAAATTATGCAAAGAAAAACGATTTGATTATACAGAACTCGGAACATTGGACCTGCAGGAGACATTGTCTAAAGACAGTGATATAAGCTGTATCTCCCTTCTCCCACTTTTTCATCAGACGAAATTTACATTTATTTACCTGTATGTGTTTTCAAGGAAATAAACACTTTATTCCAAAAAGACACATCAAGAAGCACATGAATATAGAAATAACAAATTGTCTTTTTTATTAATTGTTACCTGTACAAAAGCACCATCTCCTTCATTGAGTTTATCATCATGCTTAACTTCGACCCCTATTGCCTGGCCCTGGCTCATGGCAGCCAACTCCACGTCTGTCGTGTTGGCCATGTAGAAGTTACCATAGAAGTCTACTGGCCGTATGCCTGGAGAGATTGATAACATATGGCCACATACAATATTTTACAGATTTTAATTACTACATTGATTGAAATGTTACAATATCTGACACAAAACAAAAGCCATTGTTTACAAATCACAGAAATTGTTTTACTTTCCTCAAATTTGTCTTAACTTTTCTTGAATTTATTATACAATTAAAATTGAAACAAAATTAATATTGCACACTTTTCTCTTTTATCAATTTACTGGTATAACTTTTCTGTCAACATTTAGACAAAATCATTTATATTTTTGCAGAGTTTGATGTAATACATCTTGGAGCATAATAAGTTTTTTTTTTCCCACTGTAAAATTACTTATACATGTATTCAAGCTCACTCAGGTATCCCAACTGACCTTGCCATACCTATATGCAAGGACATTAGTTCACATTTACTCTCTCACAAAACATTGTAAGAGAAACATTTCAGTCTGTTATAGAAACAGATATGAAGAGATCTGGAAAAACCTTTACCTGTGCTTGTTCTCACACGTAGAATAGCATCAAATGCAGCCTGGCTCTCGACATTCATCTTCAAGTCTTCCATGAATCGAGAGCCGTCCAGGTCAGCCTAGAATAGACAAAACTCTGGGCATGAATAGAAGTCACATAAATATGTACCCTATAAATGCATAAAGTTTATAGAAAATTATTTAAGGATTTGTAAAAGTCTCTTTTAAAGCATTTCTGTTAACATTTTGAGTTCACAGTATACATGTATATTGACATACAAAATAGTCTTCACTTTATCCACTAACTTTAAAAATCAATTTTCTACAATATTTGTCAAGCAAGTGCCAAAAGTGGTCTGAAATTCTTCGTAATTTGTATCACTCCTTTGTAGTCAAAGGTGCTCTCTATTATATATATAGGGTAAACCTGACAGGATTTGGGGTAAATATTAAAACTCCAAAGATATTACTTCATTGGTTTTGGTGCCGGTGATCTGGTTCTTCTAAAACCACTTGACATCACAGACCACCATTTTATAAGATACAACTCCTTCCATTTACTAGTGGCTAGCTTCTACCCATCACCATATTTTCCTGTCAAATGCATATCCCTCATTCCAAAAGTGTCCATGTTACTAGTAAATCCTATCCTATCTTCCTTTCCCAGCATGCTCATCAACTTCCTTTTTTCTCATTAAAAAGCAGTTCAATTATCTGTTCATAAATTCATTTCATCAGTATTTCATGCATTAAAATATTTCAAATCATTGTCTTTTTTACCTGTAAAAGTCCTCATTTGAAACAGGCCAGAACATGATAATATAAGAAGCAGTCAAGCTGGAACTCTAATAGAATCAGCGAAGTTCATGTGATGATGGATGGCATAAAATATTAGAATTCTGGGCAAAAAATACTGTTTGACTAAAATTTAATTCAGTGAATGAAACATAATACCCTTATAAAGGAAAACCAAAATCAGGTTGGTAACATAAATTTGCTGAATTGATCCTATGGAATCCTATGTTTGAGCACTGACAGGAGATTTGGACATGCATGCACACATTTCCACCCAAAGCAATTCTGGATCCAAAGGAGCTTCACCAAGCGTGAGAGGAAAACAGACACCACTTACTTTTTCGTTATCAGACTTCAAAGTGGAAAACAAAAGAGAGTTGTCACATGTTTGCATACCAGAAATTTGTTATTTTCTCTTCTGGGAATTGAAAATTGAAAATGCCAGGCTGTGCCCTGACCTAAACCGTGTACATATCACTTCATACATTGATTTAAATAATTTGTGTTTTCATTAATTGTTGTCTACTCAAAAATGTAAAGAAAAATCTACTTATTTGATGATCATGTTAAAGTTTGAAAATGATAATATAATTATGTATCATAAAGATGCAGAAGTATATCTTTCAGGGAGTTCTGCTATTAAAAGCACTTATGAAGTCGAAAGCAGCATAGCAATACAGCAGATTGCTACCAGGAAGTGCCAAGCCAGCTTACTCTAGAATATTTTCTGTACAACAAATGACTCAAGTAAGGAAATTTGAGATATTTTGAATGAGCTTTTTAAATACCATTTACCATCCAAACCTTCCAACTTGGGTGAGACATTCAGAGGGCTGAAATTTCAGAGTAATTCTGTCTACGATCATCATGAACTCTACATCGATTTAAAATTTGAGGGATATTTTCCATTTTACATGGTTGTTTACACTTCTTACCTGGAAGTAACTGTACTTGTACATACTGCCGCCAGTGAGACGACACACGTCGCTGATAGACGCCACGTCGATGTAAGCATTGGGGAAGAGGAACATGTCCACACTGCAGCCAGCCACTACACACTCCTGGCCCACCTTGGTGTAGAAGTTGTTCTGTGGTGTAAGGATGGTCTGTAACACAAATAGGATATATACAAATCATATTACTATTACCGTAAGTGTTACAACAACAACACAGAATTTATTTAATCACAGAAGCATCATACAAAATTAATTAAGTTATTGGAATCAAGTCTATTCTTCGTTTTATGAATCCAAACCTCCAGGATCCAAAATGTTTTGGTTACTTAGTTTTGACATTCATGCCAAGGACAACTCTAAAACCATTTTCAAAATGCACAAAACATCATAATAAGCATATCCCATCCAAGTTTGTTTTGATCATCAATTTGGATGATGGGTTCAGAATTAATGAGAATAATTTCAGTTAATACCACTCCTTATTTCCCAGACTACATACTGGGACACTTTCAACCAATGTAGTGTTATCTCTGGTAAAATCCACACCCTTCTAATATCAAACAATGTATACTGAAATGTACCATGATAACTGGTACCATGGTGAACTCATCCACATTATGATATGCAAAGTAGATAAGAGTTAATCTGAACATAATTTCTCCATACACAGTAGCAGTCAATGATGAATGCATGGGCAATGAAATAGTAAAAATACCTTTTCCTTGTCTGTGCCGAGCAGTTTCCTGTCATCCCTGTTTTTAAGCTTGCCTGGTGCCTCCGCTATAGGTAGTGATGAGTGAAATATGTAGAGTTTTCCACTGCGGTCGGCAGACTTGAGGGCATCTAAGCCTGCTTGTATGACAGGGCCAAGCACCGTCTCCGTCTCCCTTGACTCCGCAAACATAACTGGGATCTGGGCAAGCAAGCTGTTTAACAGAATGTCATACATATACTGATCAAGAAAGGATGATACATAAATATAAATTTAATATGATGAATAAATATCCTGCTTTAATTTCAAAATTGAATAAATTTCTGAATGACCTGTTCCTTTGTAAGCGAGATATTTTACACAATTTTTGGTAAGAGAGAAGAATCATACCTTAACCGCAGATTTGCGTAATCCCATGAAAATGAATTTCTATTATGAAATAGCTTATATTATTATAATAAGAATAATTATTTTTCTTATTAATTATCTATATTTCGTGAATAAGCAAATATCTAAAAAGGTCTGAATTATTTAGAAAAAAAACTTTTATTGTATCATTACCTGTCAATTACAGCCTCGGATTCGGATAGTTTAACGAGAAAACCATCCAACAATGGCACGAAAACGTCGTCTAAATCTGATACAACCAACATTTGTGGCTGGGCAAGATTTCCCTGCAAAAAAAGAGAGAGTAAAATTGTGTGCTGAATGTGTGCAGTACAATTATTAAAAAATTTATCCAAAAATATTACCCCCATATATTTAGAAGTTCAACAAGGAAAACAAACAATCCTGATGACAGAATAGTAAATATTACATATGTCTCCATGTGTATAAATGTTTACGCAACATTTCTTACCTTGACATTATAAAAGTGAATTTCTTTAGCGTATGTAACAAATCCCACACGTATCTCCGATTCCTCTGCACCAACTTCCCTACGAAACAGAATTAAATCATCAGAATTCCATTCAGGAACTAAAAACAATGTAAGATATTCATTAGAGAAATATTCCAAGATTTCACTAAATCAGAAAAACTGATATATCTGATATCATTTTTAAGGAGATTATTATTTCTGATACATGTTTTGCAACTTATGAAAATTCAATTGTCAAGACACTGAAGACGCGAATATTTTATTTTAAATAAGGTTTCCCTCGAATTTTTAGTATTTCTGCAACTGAGTTTCATAATAATGTCCAATAAAAAACCATAATGAAATTTTTTGAATAATCATTCTAGAATTTATCTTCACTTGTAGTACATTGTATCTGCAGACTGGTCAGAACTTCTTCAATCCTGTAAAAATAACCACAATGCTTTATATCTTTCCAAAAGTGAAATACTAACAAAACCCAACAGAAACCCATCTTTTATGACAAGAGTTTCCTCTCCGAGAATTTAAAATTCCTAATCTATGGATGTGTACATATAGTTTCATTCTTACTTGTACTCACTTTGGTAAATTGACGAGAATTTCCTCCTTGAGGGTTTTACACAGTAGGTGTACTAGACCACTTTTGACACTGTTGTAGGACACATCAATCATGAAGATGAAGGCAGGAGCATTAGGCAGAGTGCTATTCTGTTAAAATAAAACCACAAGAACATCATCAGTTATGTCGCACATCGAAATTATTTCAACAGTAAATTTTTGAAGTTATTCATTTTATTAACAAAGCCAACAGTTTTGACAACTTCTCTTGCAGATATGAAGAATGAACTAAGAGATCTTTTGTTTTCATCCCAATTGCAAAATAGATAACATAAAACAGCTTGTTACATTAAATTTGCCATTTCACTTACAGCAACTGTTCTGTCAGTCCTGTTTCTCTAAAGAGTCTCCGTTCATGCTTTACCTCATCCCAATATAAAGCATTCATGCTTTACCTCATCCCAATAAAAAGCCAAAATCTAACTGGACAAATCATGGCAGTATAATGAGATTTTTTATGGTACACATTTCTTACTTTGCAGTAGTCTTTAGTGGCAACGAATTCATAGGAGCCGAGACAAAGTTCTGGCCTGTCGTATGCATCCACTCTCCTACCCGTGTGGTCAAGATGTTGGAAGTACTCTGCTGGTACTGTTATCAAATGAATACATAAAATAAAATCATAAATCACAAAAACTTTTTCTAGGATTTCTAACAGGGCAAAAAAACCCTACAATGTCTTTTTTGATGATTTTTACAGAAATGTAATCATCATCATATTTCATTTCAATTGGATTTCTCCCGAAGTTTACGACTGGTGTTTATGATTTTTACAAATCTTTGAACAGATTATCTTTCAGAATGTTGATTCTATTCAAGTAAGCATTACCATCAGACCATGTTATATGAAAAATAAACTTGTGGAGTTAAAATCAATATATGTTACACAATAGTGCTCTTCATAGTGATGTCGGTGAGAAATAATTTCATAATTAGAAGATGCATTCAATTTTTGTAAGTTTGCAATATCGAGATCTGACTTTACAAATACATTTAAGTCAAAAGCTATTTTTTCTCTTAGACTCGACATCGACACTACATCAATGTATAGTTTTTATTGTAAAAAAATTGTGATAAAGATTTTCTGTAACCTGAACACTCGGTGAGATTCAGCGAGCAGTGAACTTTAGTGACAACTTACCATCTGTTTGTGCCCCACAGAATACACACTGGAACCTCCGTCCACCATCAATAAACATCATAAACGGATTCATGTAGGCTTTACATCTCTTACACCGCACTGGACCAACTTCTCCCAAATTGACAATCGGGGGTGCGCTCTGGAATGAAAATTTATGGAAAGGAGTGAATTTTGTCATATTTCTGTGGTGTTACCTCATGCATCTATAACATCTAGTCAATAATTGACAAACAGCTGCATTGCTAATGATCAGTCTGGAAAGGAACTCCAGTAATATGTCTGACTAAAATGAATCAAAAACTGATTTTAATGAACTGGTTTGAACTAAAAAAATAGTTTACTGTTGAAATCTAATGTCCTTACCAAAACGAAAGAAATTTAGTTTACTTTCTCAAACTTGCATAATGTTAAAAGATTGTCGTAAGCCCCGAAATTTTCATCTTTTAGCCCTTTAAGACAAATTGCTGAAACCCTACCTATACTTTTACAAGTAGTGCTATTTTTTATAGCAAATATATAGAGGATCTGTCATAAATTTCCCTTCATATTAGATTTATGATACAAGTTTTGGATTTTTTATGTTTGCGAGCCTCTGGGGAGATCTAATATGAAGGGAAACGAATGCCAAATTCTTTTATTACATAATTCAAAGTAAACTGTATAATTGTGATCTGCAACGAATATTTAGCACTTGGCCGCCTCTTAAATGATGAAAATGGCGTCCGCCTCACAATGACGTGACGTCACATTAATTGTTACCTCTCCATCATTGAGTTTAGCAAATGGCGATATGGTGAGGGCTAATGGTATGTGGCTGGTCTTGAGTAGGTCTGCAGTGCATGGTATGGTGTAAGTAGTTGACCTCATAAACCGTGGATTACAGTTTCCTGAAAACCAAAACAAGCATTGCATTGATGTAACAGATATTAAATAAAGAATACCCGGTAATGGTTGTGCTATTTTGTCCCAACGCATGGATTTACGAGTGTGACAAAACTTAAATTAATGTTAGAAATTAGAGGAAAATTCCAGAAAGCCCTACTTCATATTTTGTTTCATAATCCTTTGAATAAAACAGTACAAAATTAGTTCTGTTTTACAGATATCTCAGTACAGAGAGATTGACTGCTTCTTCTATCGCAGGTTGTACAATATAATTCTTCCTAAAGGGACGAAGAGCTGAATATGGACTGACTTTAGTTGTTTGGTGTAAGGACACTTAGTCAAAAATTGGATAAATGATGACCTAATTAACACGTTTGAAATATTCATACTTAGAGAAACAACAATTTAATAAAATTATGAATGGTTATCAGTGACAATAAATTAATCATCAACAATGCTGAGAAGTTAAACCAGGAATACTGCTACATTTACACAATCAGAGACCTAGTTATTCAAAGCCGACAGTTAGACTTGTAAAGCTTTCACGTAGAGGTTCTGGTCGAAGAAATGACGGGAGTAACAAACATTAAGGAGTAATGGGACAATTGATGTGAAGTGGAAAATGTTCACATGTATCAATTTTATATTTGATCAAAACAGTACCATTTTGAAAACACTGCCAAAGGAGAACACTGAATCCAGTGTTTTCTATATACTGACCTTGATCTTGAACGGTAAAGGGTGTGGTCACTAGTGGTGGGGCAGCGCCCCTTTCCAATGTGCTGAATACTCCCCCTTTGTTGGCCTCATCATCCTCAATCACCTGTATCTGTAAAGATATCGAAAATACAAATATGAGATGTAGACTACAGCATATAGTCGAGCACGACATCTGTTCCTTTAAGCTTGGTTGATGACCACCAAAATTCAATAAGGTTTAAAACTTGATGTTATCGTTCTGTGGTGCAAGTGGTCAAGTATGACCTTTGACCCTTTAACCCTGACTAATCACCATTAAAATATAATCAGATTTAGAACTTGATGTTATGAAACTGTTATAGGGTTAATGAGCTATTGTGTACACAAGGCTTTTATTACAGATGAACATACACACTGACAAATGCTTTGGTTTTATTTTGTTTAACGTCCTATTAACAGCTAAGGCCATTTAAGGAAGTACTAACCAATGCAAATATGGACCTCCGTAGTAATCACTTTTATACAACCCCTTACCAGAGAGGGTGTATAATTATGTGGATGTGATCATTTAGTGTATATGAAATTTTATGACACAAGTGGCACATGTTTTTAAATGAAAACTGACAAAGGGCTATTCTAGAAATAGCTATATGAGGGGCTGTGGAGCAGTAAACATTTTTTTTCTCGGACATCAACCACTGATCTACATTGTATTTCAGTGCATCACTGATCCCCAATACATTCACGTCTGGGACCCCTGTATGTAACACCATAACTTTAGAATCCCTACACATAAAGATTTAGTTACACATTTCAACACTTTAAACAATGATGCTCTGGTCCACTTACTGGGCTAGGCATCTGGTCTGGGTCAAGTTTCCTGGGAGCTGGTTGTTGAATTCCACCAGCGGCTGGCATGTGTTGTCCTCCTGCACTTTGGTAGCCTGTCTGTGGGGGAAAGGTTGTCCCTGGCATGGTTCCACCCATATACTGCTGGCCCCTTCCTGGGGGCCCTGGCTGGGCCAGGGAGTGGGGGCCAGGAGATGACGGAGGCATCTGTTGGGATGACATAGGGGGCATGCCACCATACTGACTAGAAGGGGGGCCAGGAGGGGGGAATCCTCCAGGCATGGATGTAGGAGGACCTTGATTGGGGAATCCTCCAGACATAGATGTAGGAGGACCCTGATTGGGGAATCCTCCAGGCATAGATGAAGGAGGACCCTGATTGGGGAATCCTCCAGGCGTAGATGTAGAAGGACCCTGATTGGGGAATCCTCCAGGCATAGATGTAGAAGGACCCTGATTGGGGAATCCTCCAGGCATGGAGGTAGGGGGCCCCTGATTGGGGAATCCTCCCCCTGGCACTGAAGTTGCTGGCCCTGGTGCATGGGGGAAACTAGCCGGTGTAGAAGTCTGTGGTTTTGGTGGGGCTCCTCCACCATACCCAATAGGAGGCCCTGAAGGAGGACCACCCTGTGCATATTGTCCATAATTTGTGGGTGGGGCATTTCCTTGAACATTGCCCACAGTTGATGGAGGACCACCGCGACTGCCGGACATCTGACAAAAAAAAAGAATTACCATCATTTCAAATGAAATTCTTGTAATTATATATGACAATTTCCAATTTATCATTTTTCAAAAATGCATTTGTTAATCCAGATTTTTCTTTTTATTATAAAGAGACTAAATGCTCTCTATTTAAGATCCACAAAGGCTGAAGTTTTATGTTTACAACTTACATCCATAGTTCGAGGCTGGTCCGATACAGTCATACCACCCATCTGATTTGTCATCTAAAACATAATCGAAATACCAAATTGAAAAAACCTAGAATATCATTTAAAAAGCTACTGAACTCGAAGTGCAAACAGCTGAGTACAGCATGATCATTCAACCTGCATTGTGTACATGTTAAATTATTGAACTAATTAAAGCCTTTTTCAAATTATGATACTAAGGATCAATGTTAGAGGTCAAATGAAAAAAAAACCAATCATGTTACAGATTTTGCAAAACAAAGTACAGCGATGGGTAGAAAAAATGTCTCTCAAACTTTTCATATTTATGACCCTATACCACTTTTTCTTTTTCTTTTACAGATCATAGATAAAATGCTGTGTCTGCATATCTAACTACCTTTGGTTAAGTTACTAAAGTGTGAACAAAATCATAATTTGAACTAAAAGCAAATGAAACTATGATATATATCACCAAAGAAAAATAGCATGGAGACCCTTGACAAATTTCAAGGGAAACAAGACAATGTGATTCAGAAAGGTCAGCATTTTCTGCTTCACTGAGGATATCTGCATTGTAAATCTTTGTCAAATCCAAGCAATGAGACTGTCATTCTTTCAGCCTCATTGAATGTAACTATAAACATGGGATTACTTTCACTTGTTCTGAAACATTTCAAGATACAAGTCTTATCTACCAACCTGCTGTGTGGAGCTAGGGGGCAGTCCACCAGGGAATTGTCCTTGTCCTGGGGTAGGGGGTCGGAACTGGCCCCCCTGTTGTGCTCCTTGGCCCATCATGTTTGGAGACCCCATCATGGCATGAGGTGCTGGGGGTCTGCCTCCAGGACCCATCATGTGGGGTGGGGCACCTTGTCCCATCATAGAATTAGGGGGCTGCCCATGACCCATTATGTTAGGGGCTGGCCCTGGACCCATCATGGAGTTAGGGGGCCCTGTAGAGTTAGGGGTGTTCTGTGGTGGTACTGGCTTTGCCACCATTGCTGGTGCTGGTGCTCTGTTAAAACCATTATTTGTTTAGTAAATATGTATGGGATTTTCTATGTATGAATACAGGACGAACCAATTCAGCTTTGGTGAAACAAGTTTAGCCTGTGCTTTTACATTACAACTAATATACCTTTAGAGAATTCAATGATTTGACTGCAACACAATAGGAAGACAGGTTATAAATCTTTACAATGTTTATTTACTATCTACACTTACCTTTCTATGCAATATTGCTGAAAATTAGCTTCAACCCATGTTAAATGAAAGCTGCTGAATATTTAAATTATAAATTTACACACATTTTCACTCTACATAATAAATAACTTCAACAAGGACAAATTTAAAAGGTACTACTTTGTTTTCCAATTAACATTGCTAAGATCAGGACCGATACAAACTTTTTTCCCACATTGGTGACAGTCGTTGTTGTTAAAAGTTCTCCAGGTGCTTTAAGTATCAGAGTATCGAAGTTCTTCTGTTCTAGGTTATAATATAACAATGAAGACAAAAATCATGTTTACCTTGGTGCTCCATATTGAATGTTGTCCCCTTGGGGGCCTCCTCCTGGGAAGCCACCAGGCTGTGGTCCATTTGACATAGGTCTGTATTGGCTTTGTCCTGGACCCATAGGCTTTGGTGGTCCACCAGGGAAACCTACAGCAAATAATTAAGAAAATCAAATTTTTTAATAAGGATGAAATTAACTGATTTTTAATATGGTAAGAGGTTAGGTCTATTTCTAAATGAATACATTATGTTCATTTCATCAATAGGTTGGTACGTGTGGAGGCGTTATCAATAATGTAAAAAAAACCAGTGATCCTTAAACCAAAGCATCAAGTGAGTTAACAATTAATCCAACATATCTTTATTATCAAGCATTGTAACATTTATATAGGTTTGCCCTGCATGGATGGATTGGTCGAGTCGTTAACATGGAATATACAGAGAAAGTGTTTTTCTCCTGACCACACAACTCCAACTCCAACAAGGTGGAATATAAAAACAATTTGAACCTAAAAAAAAAGAAAAAAAGGTGGAATATAAAATGGTCTGGGGTGGATGTTGCGGTGTCTGTGCTGTAGCATTCAAGTGAAGTTGCACTATAAATGATACCGTTGGAAGCACTGTCCCACTACAAACAAAACAATACATCTCCAGCACACATGCAGGCATACACACATAGGGAGATATTAGCCAGGTGGCATTATAGGACTAGTAGTTATATACTGTTTACTTCTATACTGTATGCCGAGAAAATTTTGCTGCAGTTTAATTTTTTCCCTTTCACCCGCCATAATGAAGGCAAATTTATCATTACAGTGAAGGTGAAATGAACACTCAATCAACATTTCTATTACTATATAAACCACTTGTCAGACCTCATATTGAGTACTGCTCCACAATATGGTCACCCCTCCTAAAGAAAGACATACATTCACTGGAAAACATACAGCGAATGGTAACTAAAAGGCTTATTACACTGCAAGACTTACCTTATCCAGATCAACTAAAACGACTAGGACTTCCCACACTTGAATATAGAAGACTACGGTCTGATATGATTCAAGTGTACAAAATTCTGAGTGGTGTGGACGATGCAGACAACTCTAAATTATTTACAGAATCCACCCATCCGGCAACTAGAGGTCACCAGTTAAAGCTCTATAAGAAACAATGCCGCTTAAACACCACCAAGAACATTTTCAGCAATTGTGTTGTGACAAACTGGAACAATTTATCAGCTGAAGTGGTTAATGCCGAAAGTTTGAATAGTTTTAAAAATAGGTTAAACGTGCTCTGGAAAGATCAGGCACACAAATTTTATCCGTCCTTTTAATCTACGATGTGTAAATAATAATTAATACTTTTGTGACAATTAGACTACACTAGACGTCTAGATATATTTAATGTCATACAATGTATGCCATTCTTTGCACACTCCATCATCAACAATCAATTAATGAAATGCAGATAAATAACATCATTACAAGCCATAGGCTTTCCATTGATGTCCTACCTATGAGATAGACAAACATATATTATTCTGGCGAAGGACCAAAGTTTTAATGGGTGAAAATGTCACAGGATATATTATTTGAAATGTTATGTTCCATTTTAACCGGTAATACTAACCGCTGGATTGGCCTTGTTGACCTGTGCCGTTGTACATGGGTTGACCTGCCATTGGCGGCCGTTGTCCACCCACGGGAGGGGCACCATACCCTGTGGGTGGCATCTGGCCTTGGTTTCCGGGGAACTGTGGGTTCATTGTGTCATAACCATGTATATTTCATCTAGCTGCAACATAAACATAATTGAACATACTGAATGAAATTGCACAATATTTAGGTGTTATAGATGCACTTAGCATAAGACTAATAATTAACACATGTAGTGTTTGACTATATAAACACTGCTAGTAGTAGTACATGTAGCTATATTTTGGCACATCAAAAGGTTTTTTTGTATTTATTTTCTAGTTATGTTTGTGAAGAAATCCTTTTCACTCCCCTCCCAAATGTTCTTTTTACACAGATTTAACGGACCAATAGTGGTTGTTTTTAAAATCAACACAAGAACTCTATAGACATATTGGTAGTCAACAAAAATCTAGGTAGGGTTATCTGAAACATATGTCTGGGTAGATCTTTGCTATTCTTTCCAAAAATTGTTTAGTTGAAATAACGTTTGAATGTTATGCATTTAAGTACATTAAAATAAAGATGAATATCAGTTTCAATAATGCATTGATTACAATGGTCACAGCTGACAGTTTGACACGAGTGTGAATAGAGAATGATTAGCATACGATATAACACAGAAAATGGCATAATATGAAGAATACAAAACTATATGTAAAATATGTGTGTATAACAGGTAACTTTTTAGGAGATGAAGATATTGAATGTTGTATTCTCTTTAAGGGAATGACAATGTTGCATGTTATAATTTCTATTCAGGAAAGGTGGTTCATTAACATGACACTAGAAAAAGCATGATGCACTTTTCCAGTAGTTGAATGGAAGACGTGAGTTTGACATGTGGTTTGAAATTTAAATACCTTGGGGATAACTGTCAAACTTATAGTAAGTGTGGTAACCGTAATGTTACTGACAGAGGCAAACAGGTTCCAACTTTAGAATGAAAGTACACACACACGACTATCTGGTCAATTCAACATGTACATGCCATCTGTTCTGCATCCCTTCTGATTCTATCTAGTGAATATATTGATACCCATACAACTACAAGTACAAGTCAAAGACGTTACGAAATCAGAAACTGTAGTACCATAATCATTGGTGAATGGTGATCGGCTAGGCGATGTTTAATAAATTCATCGGACCAGTTTCTTTCTTTACATTCATTTTATACAAGCCAGTTGATATATGTAATACAGTAACACATTTATATTAAATACCATACGGTTGTCAATCTAATGTATTTATTACACCATGTACACAGACTATTTCTGCCTGGCCTGTGCAAAGTCATCAACAGTTACATTCTGCATAATACAGAAAACGAAATTAAGTCATAGCCCTCGAAACTTCAACATTTGCAACTCAGTCGGATCTCGGTATAGCTAGTGCTGAACTGACATCGATGCAACCATGCACAAACAAGAATTCTGACAGCCGTCATTTGATCATACCGACAGCATGTCGAAATATTTACCTACGCCGGGCGATAAGTTCTCCAGTTTACAGAGCCAATCTTACCTGTAAAATGCTTGAATTGGAATCCTCTCTTATTGATAAAGGTCTGAACAGAGGTAATTTTGTGATTAAGCAGAAATGAAGTTGCTGAAAACACGCATAAAATGACACGACTTGATATTACGTTTTGGATGCCACGTACGGTTGGGGAATACTTCCGGTTACTGTCATGCGCAGACATTGCCACGTAACTCTGGGATGAATTATGGGAAGTAAATACCTATGGGCGCTGTGTCTATCGGGAAAAATAATAATTTTGGTCCGTTGTCTTAAAGTAAAGCATAAAACTGAAACTTCAACGTAGAATTAAACGTATTTATTGTTATTTTAAAACGACGCATTTGTATTATCATTTACGAAGTAATACTTCACGGAGGTTGTAATTGTACCTTGATGTTTTTTTCGGCACGTGTACAAAATCCCGAATCTACCATATCCCTGGATAGTTCACTTCCGAGTATAAAAGCAGACGATGTTCAGAAATGACCTAGTTTGTCAGCGATAGGTGTCCACAAAATAAGCTTATCGGTTATTTCTACCTTGCATCACGAATGAAAGCGCACTGGTACTGCAGACACGTGACACACAATTCTTATTCTTATTATTTATACCATTACTTGTTCGTGTTCTTCTATTTAACTCACTCACGGGGGTTCTTAATTATCTTTTCTGGGATATGAATTACTCTGTTCCTAGCTCTCCGGCCTATGCTTGACTGGTTCCCAATTCAGCTGCTGTAGCATATTTGTGACACATCCATGGTATCTGGAGTAGTAATCCCGAACTAGCTAATCTGGCAGCCTATATATATAAAAAAATTACCCCGTAAACTATAAAAAACAACAACAACAGAGGCCTGATAAGTGTTATAAAGGCCCTTGCCTAGACTTCATGTGGACTATGGGTGGCGGTTCGGGCCAAAAGCGATATAAAGTAACGCGTTAAGAAAGTGTAACGCGTTAAAAGTCACTTCTAACGTGTTAAAACTCGCATCTAACACGTTACAGTGGTAAATTCACTGGCAAATCAGAGAAATCGTTTCAGAGTTGATGCTTTTGATATTTAAAATAAATAAAAATGTTATGACTAATTATGTTAAAAAAACCCAGACAATAACCCATTCCCACATCATATTTTTCTTCAAAGTAATGTGGAAATGGGTTATCGTCTGTTTTTTTTTATAAATAAATTTCCAGAGCCTTAAAAGTGGTATCGGAACGCAATTTAGAATTTTGATAATTGATTTTCAGGAAATGCCCTATTTTTTGGGAACTTTCAAAAAGTCATATATTTTTTTAATTTATTTTCCGATTTCCTTAAATGCCTTCGTTAGGTAAATACAAACACCTATGAACCCAATGATACTTCACTACAAAGTTTGGTTAAACTCAGTTTATTGACTGTTGAAAAAGACATTTAAACAAATGTTATTGGGACAGATGACGGACATTGCACCACGGAATAAGATCAAATATCCTATTAACCGTTATTAATGGATAAATTAGTACCAATCTGATCTTATTTTTTCCATAGAATTCTTTGTCTAGAAAGGGACGTAAGTCGGGCTGTTGTGAATTTAATCGCGGAGGATGATGCAGATCATTGTCAATTTTGAAAGACATGTCTTCTGATGTGGAAAAACATAGCTCGGATGATTCAGGCACACATTAAACATTGATTATTTCATACTTAGAAATAATTTTAAAATATAAAGTTACGTTTAATAACTAAAAATAGTTCTATACTACGTGTAAAATACTATTAATTCCTCCCCGAATCAATTCTCATCTCTACTATGTTCTTCCCTGGCCACTTTCTTTGCTATCCCACAGGGTCACGTTACAATCACACATATGCTAAACTGAAAACTGATATGGGTCACAACACACATAAACATACAGTGTGTTGTTACCCATATCAGTATAGCATATGTGTGATTGTAACGTGACCCTGTGGCTATCCCAAGAGCAGGAAACTTGAATGCATACATACACTAGGAATCAAATCGACCGACAGGGACGAATGTCATTTGGCACAGTATTTTAGATGTGCATGTGCAGTGTGTGTGCTGCAACTTGCATATGCATAATATTAGCATTGATATGAACATGAAAAGGCACGAGCAGTCAATTATTCCGAAGCAGCTATAATATCCAACTGGTAATTATGTCCCGTCAACCCGATCAAGTGTAGACACAAGAGGTGTATGGGCCTAAACGGTCCCCTGAGGGAATTGATAATGCCTGATAAAATCCAAGGCGACTATATTGCGCACAAGTGTACAGTATTCAGGACCTCGTGAGGAACATTTAAAACACCCTTTCTTGTCAATGCAGCCGTTTTTGATGAAGACATGCATTTCATGTGCAGTATACTCTACATTTATCAGGATGAATCCTCAGGATCCCATCATTTCCCACCAATGTAGGTTCTTTCTCTTCCTGCCTTTTCTATGTCATCCTCCATGTCTGTACTAGTCCGCAAAATACTAATCATGTGTTGAATAGACTTCAAGTCCAACTTATTAATAACTATAAAAAGAACAACACACTATCAATCATGTTAACGTTGAATAGAACCTTAACAATTTATGACAATGACTAGAAACATATATACAAATGACATTTGAACATTTTTAAAATACCAAAAATATACCCTTCGAACAAAACAGAAAACCACTCTGGAAACGCTGCACTTCATTAATATCACATATGAATATTTATTAAGATATGTGAAGGACAAACCGTGGATTTCATACACGTATTTAACCACTGAATACCACACAAAACTACCTAATTTATTGATAATCACCAGATTTCACACTTACATAATACACAATACATGTTGTTCAACATCCTCGTGAACCTGGCAACTTTAATACTTGCATACACTATCATTCATTATCGCAATGATACACACTTATCTGCTGTTCCTTCCTCTTTCTTATACATTATCATTCTCATTCCTTTAAGGACTCAATCCAAACAATTTTTATGTGATGATTTAATGTTCATACAGGAACTGTTAAATGAAGAAACGAGAAAGCAAACATTACTTTTTGAAGTTCCCAAAAAATAGGGATTTCCTGAAAATCAAGTATAAAAATTTCTAAATTGCGTTCCGACACCACTTTTAAGGCTCTGGATATTTTATTCATATATCAAAACTGTCATATTTTATTTAAATTAAATGAAGATTTGTTTATATTGAAAAAAAAGAACCCAGACAATAACCCATTTCCACATCACCTAGAAGAAAAATATGATGTGGAAATGGGTTATTGTCTGGTTTTTTTTCAATATAAATAGTCATAACTTTTTCATTTATTTTAAAATCAAAAGCATCAACTATGAAACGATTTCTCTGATTGGCCAGTGCATTTACCATTGTAACGCGTTAAAAGTGACTTCTAACGCGTTACTGTATATCGTTTTTGGCCCGAACCACCACCTATAGTGGACTACTCCTATAAGGTTCGTTCTAAAAAACGAAAAAGGATCCAACAGATCTTGCGACTTTGGCTGATGTGTTACTTACTAGCCCGGGTTTCCTCTGGCCCTGACACCAGATAGAGACATTTTGACAGCACACCACACATCTATCTGTCAAAATGTCCAAGTGTGGTGTCGGGGCCAGAGGAAACTCGGACTGGTGACTGCTCCGACCACGTGAGATCATAACTAATATGGATGCCAAGATAATTGCCACCTGATACATTTTTAAGTCGTAGCCATGTAGGTGGTAAGTGGCATTGATATGTGGTAAATGAATGTCAGCTGTTACAAATTGACCAATTCAAGGCACATATATTGTTACGACTGTGAGGATTTCCATTTTTTCTGGAGGCTGTAAAGATGCAAGCTATTCTTTAGGTGGGTTTCCCTGTTGAGGAACGGCAAGGAGGAAGATACAAATCACACTTTGGATTGCTGAGGGAAGAGACAGGCGTGTCGCTATACGTACCTAAAACCGTACAGCTATCTACACAATCTGGAAATTGATGGGCACAGGAGAAATGGTATTCGAAAACGATCTAAAAAAACAAAGCAAGAAGAAAACAAAAATCCATCCAATTGGAACTACAGACTTGAGGACATTTCCATCCAAAAAGCAATTAGCGAATGAGAAGTTGGAGAACGACACTCTAGCATGCGCTTTGACAATTCAACAAGCCGAGGCCAGCAATCAATTAGTTTAGGGCAGGAACCGACGAAAGAAACTGGAGATAAACACTACATGTACACATCACCAGCTCCAGCTCATAATATGTTCGCCCCGAACCTTACTTCCAATTAAGATTTAAGGAGGTGATAATGTATAGCTGGATCAGTTTACAACAACAACAAATAAATAACACATACCATAAGCAGTGCCACCATCAGGCTCCTCAGCATTCCTGTTTACCTGTCTGCTAGTATCAACAACGCTAAAGCCACAGTAGATATAGTCAATGCCAATTATTAGGTGGGTTACGGATGCGGTCAACTGGGTCAGTCATTCAGAATGAGTCAGGCATACCATCAATTTGGACAATTGCATACTTTTCTAGTAAAGACTTCAGAAAGGATTGCTAGGACCATCAAGTGTTTTGCTAATTTGAGATCGCCTTGGTGTGTGAATGTTCAAATCTATGTCCCAAATACTGTTACTTCTTCAGGGCAAAGGTAAAGATCGTGAATCAGTAGGTCCGGACAATACGGCAAAGATTGTAGAACGGCCAGTACAGTATACCAACAACAGGAACAATTTCGAAAGTTATCAAAACTTGCCGGATTACACTGGAAATTCGTATGTAGTTTTGTTTTAAGGTTGATTGCCTTCAAAGGTTTCCATCGACTTTACAGAGGAGGACAATAGATCATCAATAAGAAGTCAATGGCCAGGTCGGTATGTACATTGGGGCATGAGAAAGAGAAAGCATTTGCTTTGTTTAACACTGCATTTTCAACAGCATACATTCTGGGATATGCCGATTATACTATGTTTTTTGAACTGCAAACAGATGTTACTCAAGCGGGTATTCGGGCTATTCGATGTGAACAGTGATTTAATGAAAGAAAACACTAACCGGTTACTTAAAAACGGACTGCCACCGACATCCTGGACGGAATCACTGCTGGAAGTGATAGTTTGGACCACGATGTACAGATATGGACACTTAAGGAACAACATGAGGCTACAAGAAAGATTCTGTCTAATGTAAGAAATGTTCCAACATGACTTGTAAATGCAAAGCCAGATTTCGTTACTTTATAACTAATGCTTAAGTTTATACTTGAGGGTAAGTGTGACCATCAGTGGTGACGGTAGGAACACTTGGTGTTTCATTTGGAGTTGTGCCATACATCGCAAGGAATTCATAATGGAAGCGACAGAACACTATACATATATATGTAAATTGCAAAATTTTCACCGAGAAACCCACATTTTTTATGCTTACCGAAAATCATATATACTTGGCTGTCTTCTGTCAAAGTTTTATACATTGACATGGGTTTTGATAGCATTTTTGCATGTTTTTAATGCATTCGTTCGATGTAAATTTGTCAAAATTGCATTTTGAAGAGAATGGACGGCCACGAAAAATGCATAAATATACCAAATATAATAATTTTTGTTTTATTTCTGCTTTTGATAGTACATCACGTAATGTTTAAAAAAATTTCAACTTGGTTCTAACTCAAATTTTGTAAATATTGTAGAAAACAATTTTTTACTTAATTTTTATATTTTGGGGGAAATTTGCAGAAAAGTGGCTACCTTACAGCTAAAATATTTCAAAAAGTCAGTCGAGAACCCCTTTTTTCTTTTCATATATGGAATCTACGTTAAAAAATGCAAGAAAAGACGTCTGACATGTGTTTTTCCAAAAGGATGGACCCACCTTAACACACGCGTCGATCACTTATGTTAAACGTTGTTTCATCCAAGTATGTAACATTTCCTCCCATTGGAGCCTGCTTTGCTCGGGGGTTTACCCCAGAAAAAACTTAAGCTTCTACTTCAGTAGCTGTCATCTTCCAACATTCACGTGTCTTTATGGAATGCCAAGAGGATGTCAGTTTAACCAGGGCGCGAGCTCTGAGGGATACGTTCCCGTTAGACAAGTCAATAACTACATCTAACCACCTTAGAGATAATAGAATGAGCAAGATAATTAATCGTACTCCAATAGATATAGTGAGAACTTTTAAAAAGTTAACCACTGAGTTAGACTTTGGGTATTGCTAATATTTCCTATGTTTGGCAGACAACTACGTCTACCGATGGATGTTTTATTCGAGATGGAGTCGAGTGGAACTGCTTTAGCTGGAAAGATGACATAGTATTTTTATAGGCTTCAGGAACGTCTCAAGAAATCGAATCACCTAGCAGCATCAACGATACCCGAGGCTCAAAACGACAAAAGGCCGGGCATGACAAATGGATGAAAAGAGACATTTGAGATGTTGGTGATCGGATGTAAATGAAATCAGTGGCATCCAATGGTTGACACAAGACGGTTTGGGGGGGATAACGAATCAACATAATACGGACGTACCCGTGTTTACACGAAAGGAGGAAAATGAAGAAGGCAGAAAACGCATCTTGTACATAAACCACCCAAGTGGTAATATTCACTGGAATGTTCCGTTTTTTCGACTTGCCACATGTCATAACTCGGATAAAACGTTAGTTTTGCTGGTTATTTTTAATAGTTTCATTTCAATTTCTAGAATTATGCCTGTCTCCCTGTAAAGCCTATACAACAAGCCCCACACCGACACCGAAGTCCTAAAATCACACCTCATGCCTATGGACACTAAACGAGGTAAAATCATGTATGTTCAACATAGTTAGGTGCTCTATTTTCGAGTGATTTGTGGTTTCTGCCTTTCTTGTGTGTGTATGTTTGTGTGGTTCGAAAAAACATAGATAGCCACAGTACGGAAGCATTTCATTTTTGATGCAGAAAACCAATAAAGGTAACATTTTACTGCACCTTATGATCGTTTCGTCCATGCAGGACTCGCCAGTAAAGGTCAAAAGATGAATATTACACACGCACACAGGTTTACAATTTAGTAACCCATATTATTACACTGCATCCTACAGCTGTTTCGTTCTTTTAGGACTCATCGGTGATGTAAGGGACCAAAAGGTTGGAAATCGAAATAGGTCTAAAATACTGTTGAACTAAACGGTAGAGCAGGGTGCATAAAACGCTTAATTTACGAATTTCAAATTTTAGAAGATAAACCCGGGTCTTAAGTATTCCGACACATGTAGAAATACAGCAAAAAGGGGAGGGTGCATATAAACCCCTTATAACGTTAGACATTTTCAACCTTTTGTTAAAACAGATAAATTGTCTCCGTAGTTCTTCTCCTTTTTTCCTTCTCCTGACTTGCGACTCGTGCTAACGCTGTGGTATTTTGTTTCTATTTTGTAACTACGTGTTTTGGGAAAATTATATTTGAACACCAAAACTACTCAAACACACTGTAATGGAGGAGATTATGTTGAAAAATAAAACATACTCTCAGTTATATATACACATTTTATTTTGATAGCAATATACAATGTATTCAAAATTAAAAGCAATACATAATGTAAGCAATCATGTTTTCAAAATAACAGGTTGAATGAGAACAATATAGATAAAACTTGCTACTGCAATGCATATAATAATTGCATTTCCTATACCATATATAAGGTGATAGCAAGAGTAGTATATAATAGAATGGCAAGACAAATTAAGCGCATACGAATACAGTTAATCCTACGTTGTCACCACCTGTTTTAAAACATACCATGTGCTAAGAGATTACGTTTAAGGTTATTATTAACTGAACCTGTATTAAGAGACCACTTGTGTTAAGAACTATCCCCCCATCCGTTTTTAACTTCTCGAGAATGCTCCGTTAAGGAAGCTTGCTGGTTCGTATTAAATGAAAACACATGATGAGTCGTCTTTCTGAAGCATTTCATACCTCTTCAAAATTACATTCAGGTTAATAAACTATAATAAATTTGAAGGGTCACCGACTAAAAGTTTTCAATACGGAGACATTTTGTCGTTTGCTATAATTTCAGGATAATACATATTTTTGTTTAAAGAACACGCATTTAAGACGGACACGTACAGTATTATTCGGTAATGAAACTAATTATGGAAGGATTTTTAAATGATTACGGCCCTTGAAATTTCCAAATATTATGCCTTACCTGGGCGGTAGATGTCACTGACACGAGAAAACTTCAGACCAGATAGTCTTTTTGATACAGGTATGTATGCACTGTACAAACTGTATGGATCATTTAACACTGAAAGAAAACAACTGTATGTGTGCATAGTAACAAACTCCGGTAGCATTTACATAAGCATTATATAAGCCCTGCGGACCTCGCTTATCAAACCACAGATATAGAAGAGGTTGAGCAAAGCACTAAACAACATTTCGAACATAGATCATAAACACGTAGACTATTATAAATGCATTTATGGACTTATTAAAACGAACCCAAAATTCATTAACTCTACGTACTGTAGTGCTGAAATGTAATATCCAAATGGACGAAACCTGCTTTTAACCTGTAAACAAATTTCAACTCTTTAAATACAACTCTTTTTGTGGTGATGAGGTATTTGTTTTTCTTTTCACGGACCAATACTCCAGATAATATTTGCTGAAAACTGATATTGGGGATAATCAATCTGTTTGTAGTGTCCTTTTTTCAAGGTACCTTTTCAGAATTGTCTACAAAACAAAGTTTCCATTTTGATAACTATTGCAAAAAGCATATTCAAAATAATGCTATTTATCGCTTCTGATGTTACACATTTTTCAGTATTCAAAAAACTCGTTAAACTTTGTTTGTGATATTTTTTTTTAACGTAATCCATGCTATATAAACACTTTGAATTGTTAAAAATAACACCTTGATACAGGAGAAAACAACAGGCGTCTAATTACTTAAAAACATTCTGGAATGAAAAATTCACGCACAGAAAAAAATCATCGAATAGTCAAATTTCTTGCAAAAGAGCGTTCTGAATGTTCTTATCAGCTTTATGTCAGTTGAATTTTATGAAGCAGCTCAATTCCGTCTGACTGTAAAAAACTAATATCAAATTCAAATGTAAGCAAACGTACACTTTGACAATTCAATGTCGCTATTATGACAGATCGATTTATTTAATATGCATTTTTTCATTTGTTTATCGATATCAGGTTCATCAGATCCATATTTCTGTTGGTTAGAGTGGTTTTACATCCGTTTCACTACCGAGTAGTTTGGTTATCAGGCAGACGAATATCTAGATGTAAGTTTATGCTATTTACAACAGCATATTCGGGAATGAATATTAATACAGTATAGAAAAATGCATTAATACTGTCGGAGTCTTTTAGAGGGGTTTGTAGTACCATAGTGAGTCAAAGGGGTGTGGTTCGTGTTACTGATGGAGTTTTATATTGTAGATGACTGGCCTCGTTTTCACCTTACTCTTTGACGTGGTCCCGTACTACTGGTCGTATCCATTAGCAGGATCGTTCTGGGGAAACCCTGCAGGGCTGGTCATTGGGTATGAAGACCCTGTCTGGTTTAAGGTGGTTGAATGCACGACAACCATCCGCGGGCATGGCGGGGTTACACACGTGGTGATGACAGGAGAAGCCTCCAATTGAGTTGCAACGTAGCCCATGGTGATAGCGAAAATGAGGCTTGATGCACCTGTCAAATTTGACCAATTTCTTTGTCCGCACTGTCGCTATTACTTCTTTGCAACGATATATACAACAGCCCTCAAGGTAATACTGTCACAATTCAAAAATATTATTATTTTTCCTCATGATTTGCAACAGATGCAACTTACTCGCAGCACCGAACACGATAGCCACTTTTGTGGCCATGGAACGTGCCTGTCCATCCGGTAAGGGACGGAAGTAACGCAGGCTGTTTACACCATTTGCCAACAGAAGAATGGCTCCAACAACGTGAAGGCCCACATACGCTATATGGCTTACTGAAAATATATACAGAAATGAATCAAATAAAATCCGAGGGCTCCAAAGTAATACAGTATATACAAAACAACAAAATTACCGAAAATATCCTAACTAGAGGCATAGAGACATTTTGAGAGGTAAGAGGTAACTAGCTACAATTATTGTATGAACACGTAATTAATAGCAGATCATAAACACCCCACAGGTATGCATATCGTTAAGCAGAATGCCGAAAATTGTAAACGTTTGACGCCAAATGTGTGGAATCATTATTGTTTATCTTAACACACAAGCCTTCCTCAGAATAAGCGTCGTGATTGTTAATTGGAAACTTTATGTTGGCTTGGGTGTACTGCAACCAACATGAAAAGCTTCAGGTTTTGCTAGAATACAAATGTAGATCCGGTTGGTTCTTCCTCCGGAGAACTAGAATAGGAACACGGTGTGATGGAATCCGGAATTGTACGTTTGCCGCGAAAATGCGTGCTTTTTAAAACTACAATTACATATAATTTTCATATTTTTGATGTGTACATTCTTTCGAATAGTAGAAATATTCGTTATGTTTATATTCGTGGTTCCATAGCAACCACGAAAAGAACGAAAGATTATTAGACGTTCAGCAAGAAGAAAATATACAGAGGATGACCATCCACAATGTGAGGGGACTGGAGAACAGTCGAACACAGAAAGATCGTAAATGTTAGGGCTATCAACTCAATAATATAGACGAAAAAGGAGTGATGTTAATCAAGCATTCACGATATCAACAGGAACAGCGATGACCAGAAAACTGGTGAAAAATCACATCCCCTTTCCTAAAAATAGCATTCATTTCAATCTGTGTAAAATTATCGTAGAAAGTGCAGTGTACAAAAAACGCTATGTAGTTAAAACAAGTGTCACTATTACCGAAAATAATCAGAAATTCGGCTGACTGTAAAATATCAAACATCAAATCAAATGTAAGCAAACATACACTTTGACAATTCAATAACGCTATTATGTCAGATCGTTTTATTTAATATGCAATCTTTTTAATTTGTTTATCGATATCAATTTCATAAGATCCATATTTCTGTTTGATAAAGTGGTTTTCCGTCCGTTTCACTACCAAGTAGTTTGGCTTTGAGATGTATATTGATGGTATTTATAACAGCACATCCGAAAAGAATAAATCTTCTAACAGCATGGTCCCAATTTTTAAAACTAAGTCATCCAACAGATAGAGACGAACTCCTAAAACAAGAACTATTTGTCAACCATGTGATACTATTTAACAGAAAACCTTTGTTTTATAGTTCCTTTCAAAAAAAGTGGCTGACACACGATAGAAGATGTATGAAACTCTTCGCAAAATAAGTTTAGAAACGACCAAGAAATAGATGGGCGGTCGATTGATAAAAGAAACTACATTTCTGAGTTGGCCAGACGTAGTATGCTATTCCGGAAAAATATAAAAGAATATTGAAAGAAAGTATAAACAATATTGAGTAAGAAATAATAAGTGAACCTGTTGAGTATCCAAAATTAGATTCAGCATCAAATATTGAAGATAAATACAATAAACATATCGATTATAAAACACTAAAATTGAGTTCTATTAGCAAGAAAAAGAATGATAATACGGAACCAAAAGTACATAAGAAATGGGAGAATATATACCAAAACCAATGTCCATGGTGTCAATATTGGTAAAAACTGTTTAAACATAATAAAATCTTAAAAAAAAAGGAATTTCAATGGAAATGTATATACAGAATACGATATACAGAAACGCAAATTAAGACGTTTTGAAGTTCAAATGGAAAATGTCACTTTTGCAAAACCGAAGTTGAAGACATACAGCATTTGTTCTTTAAATGTGAATTCACTACAATTATTATAACTTATGTAGAAAAATTGATGAGGAACATTGGTCATGGATATACTAACATTGTACTTAAAACAGAGGAAACTACTATTCTAGGATATCAAGGAAATAATGAAATTTCAATACTGATAAATACAGTCATAAGTACATTGTATTATGAAATGGATAATAAGGAAGGGAAGGAATTATATAAAGCATAACAGCAAACAAACAAACTTGAACAAACAAAATAACAAATCAAAATCAACTGAAACATGACCTGTGGTTATATTGTTAATCGAAACAAAAGAAAATAGTTCCAGTTGAAACAGTATCATACTTGAATGATATTATTAACAATAGCCTTAATGATGAATTAAATATAGATTGTGTGTTTCAGTGTGGAACCCGGTCAATCATGTCGATAGCTCGGTTCTGTGATAAGATTTGATATGACCAGCTCAAGGATTGACCTCTCGGGATACTTGATCAGGCAAAAGGGAACTGTACTCGTATTTTACTTAACAGAGGAATGAAATACGACGAAAAATAGTCAAATTCATGTCCAACAAAATGTATGTTGATTGTGTCCTATACAATGTCAAACAAGATGTAGTTTATATCTTATATAATGTTAAAAATGTGTTGTTTCTATCTTAAACAATGTAAAACAACGTGAACGTAAAAAAAGAGTTATTAGATAAGATTGTGTGTACTGCTGAAATTTGTGAGATTTTCAGTTATATCAAATAATTGAAAATTAAGTAAAAATTAACTATGAACTATGTTAGATAAAGCGTTGAATTCTATGAGATTGTGGGTAATTTTCAATTGTGTAAGGTTACACGTTATGTTGGTATTATGAAAGACTGTGGGTAGTGTTGCATTATGTAGGATTGTGTGTAATGTTGCATTATGTAGGATTGTGTGTAGTGTTGCATTATGTAGGATTGTGTGTAATGTTGCATTATGTAGGATTGTGTGTAGTGTTGCATTATGTAGGATTGTGTGTAATGTTGCATTATGTAGGATTGTGTGTAGTGTTGCATTATGTAGGATTGTGTGTAATGTTGCATTATGTAGGATTGTGTGTAGTGTTGCATTATGTAGGATTGTGTGTAATGTTGCATTATGTAGGATTGTGTGTAGTGTTGCATTATGTAGGATTGTGTGTAATGTTGCATTATGTAGGATTGTGTGTAGTGTTGCATTATGTAGGATTGTGTGTAATGTTGCATTATGTAGGATTGTGTGTAGTTTTGCATTATGTAGGATTGTGTGTAGTGTTGAATTATGTAGGATTGTGTGTAGTGTTGCATAATGTAGGATTGTGTGTAATGTTGAATTATGTAGGATTGTGTGTAATGTTGAATTATGTAAGATTGTGTGTAATGTTATATAATGTATGACTGTGTGGAATATGAAATCATGTAAGATTGTTTGGAATGCTACGTTGTAGGAGATTGCGTAATCTTTTAATGTTTAATTATGTGAGTTTGTGTTGAATGTGTAATTATGTAAATTTTACAAACAAAAGGAACAAAAAATATTTCAAACAAATCATAAAAGAATATTGAACCGACGTTATGAGTAATATGTTGGTTATGCATAAGATATTCCCATTTTAGAGGATTTTTAGTACCATAGTGAGACTTAGGGGTGTGGTTGGTGTTAATGTTTCTGTTGTTAGAGTGGTTTTACGTCCGTGTCACTTACCGAGTAGTTCGATTATCTGGTAGACGAATATCCAGATTTTGATTGATTGTAATTGTAACAACAGACATGAAAAGAATATTAATATACAAAATCATAAGAATATTAATATACAAAATCATAAGAATATTGAACCGACGTTATGAGTAATACGTTGGTTAAGCATAAGATATTCCCATAAAGCACAATATGATAAACAAAGAAATACAGACGCTATATATATATATAAATGTATTATTACTGTCAGACTCTGTTAGAGTGATTTGTAGTTGCTGTTACTGACAGAGTTTTATATTGTAGATTTCTGGCCTCGTCTCCACCTTACTCTTTGACGTGGTCCCGTACTACTGGTCGTACCCATAAGCAGTATCGTTCTGGGCAAACCCTACAGGGCTGGCCATTGGGTATGAAGACCCTGCCTGGTGTGTGGTGGTTGAATGCACGACAACCGTCTGCGGGCATGGCGGGGTTACAAACGTGGTGATGACAGGCGAAGCCTCCAATTGAGTTGCAACGTAGCCCATGGTGATAGCGAAAATGACGCTTGAAGCACCTGTCCCCGCGGCAAGGTAAAATGAGTAACCAAATTGTAGTTCCTGCGACAAGGGTGTTCCATGTGGTAGCAAGTCCTTAATATTTGCAATATGAAGAGAGAACCAGACAACACCAACCAGGATACAACCGCCTACGAACAAAGATACGAACAGGATGAAATATTATTAGGGCTATTTACATTATTTCCTGGACTTAATAGCAGCCACATGAAAAATAGGGTTTACATGAAACAATTGAAATTTTAATGATACCATGTCTATATGTCGATGCTTCACGTTAACTAGGTCTTTTTTCTATGTTATATGTTGTGATATGTTACTGTTTGTGACATCAGAAAAGGGCGGGTTGCCTTGAAAATTTGACCAATTTCTTTGTCCGCACTGTCGCTATTACTTCTTTGCAACGATATATACAACAGCCCTCAAGGTAATACTGTCACAATTCAAAAATATTATTATTTTTCCTCATAATTTGCAACAGATGCAACTTACTCGCAGCACTCAACACGATAGCCACTTTTGTGGCTATGGAACGTGCCTGTCCATCCGGTAAGGGACGGAAGTAACGCAGGCTGTTTATACCATTTGCCAACAGCAGAATGGCTCCAACAACGTGAAGGCCCACATACGCTATATGGCTTACTGAAAATATATACAGAAAAGAATCAAATAAAATCCATGAAATATACTTACTGAGGTTACATTTTTCTGCGTTAAGCTTGAAAAATACAATTTCACTATCATGCCTATTAATATACATATATAAAAACATTTTAAATAGAACATTTGCTTTACAAATCCATTTTGTAACGTATTTGTCGTTGTTTATTGTTTTCTTACCACATTGGCCGATAAACCAGTTTCTCGATCAGAAGATTTATCGAGTAACCGGTTACCAAAATTTTGAACGGTTCGACACCCCTCATAAAAAGAAGTATAACGTTAAAAAACTAAAATCCGCTCACGGTGTATATTGAAGTGTATTATTTTCGATTAAATTTAGTATTTGTTTCTTTTGCAATAAATTCTCCAAAACGGCTCATGAAAAACGAATTGAAAAATTATACAGAAAAACGCAAAACACTTCAAAACGTGTAGCTAGAAAAACACCTGGGATTGTTCTATCATTCAAAGTCAGTGCCCATGTGTAAGACTGTATCAAGAAGGCTAACAGATTGATAGGGTTAATCAACAGAACTCTGGTTTGCTTTAATATAAAGCTCTACCAGTATTTAGACCCCATCTGGAGTATGCGGTTACTGTATGTAATCTTATTTTTGTGGGGGACGTTCAGCAAGTAGAAAATGTACAGAGGATGACCATACACAATGTAAGGGGGCTGGAGAACAGTCGAACACAGAAAGATCGTAAATGTTAGGGCTATCAACTCAATAATACAGACGAAAAAGGAGTGATGTTAATTGAGCATTCACGATATCAACAGGAACAGAAATGACCAGAAAACTGGTGAAAAATCACATCCCCTTTCCTAAAAATAGCATTTGTAGGAATTATATCAAGTCTTTTAACCCGGTCTTACTCACAAGTCTTCAGTAGATATCATCATTCATTTCAATCTGTGTAAAATTATTGTAGAAAGTGCAGTGTACAAAAAACGCTATGTAGTTAAAACAAGTGTCACTATTAACGAAAATAATCAGTGTAAAAACTTAAAAGACTTAAAATACCCTCAGTGATGTCATTTCTACCCCACATTTCAGAAATATGGTCTCTAATTAACAGTCTTTAAAGTAATACTGAATAAACTGAAATAAAGACCATTGTCTAAGTAAATACTCCAAACACTTCCACTCACTCTTCAAAACGTCTTGAGTAATTGACTCTGCATTATTTGTGCTTGCTCCGGTCATTGTATCCGGATACCAGATGTGAAAAAGACGTTACATTTTGCCCAAACGTTTTTCACTGTTTATGATTTTCAGGTGCATAGTAACTGTTGACGTCACATTGACGTCACACAATACCCTACCGTTATTATGCACCTGAAGATCTAATACAATGAATGCGTCTTCTTTTGTCGATAACCCCTTTTTTAGACTCTTTACTGCCATTTTTCAATTTTTAACATTTCCATTTTTATATAAAGACAATTAAGTACGAAAATTGAAACTTACATGATACACCTTCGCCTCCTTCCTCATAGCTGAAGCACTTGGATCCGATGCATATTTGGAACAGTCCTATGTAACATGATCCTTCTCCCTCTATTTCGATCAGAGCCCAGCCAGGTGTGGCTACAGCCACAACATGGATAACCAAAAGTACTAGAGAGATTACGCCAACACCAACAACTGCACAGGTCGCCATCTTGTTACAATTTCCTACTCCTTCATGTGACTGCAATTAATTTTGTCGTTACGCTCTGAGGCACAGTTTTATGGAGTGCAGATTTTAATCGCGATGCACAGTTTATTGACTACATATGTGTAAACACATTTTTTTATGACCAGAAATGCACAGACATGTAAAGGTGAAGAATTGTTTGCGCCAACAAATTAATTATTGCGATAATAATAATAATAATAATAATAATAATAACATTTATATAGCGCCTATATAATTTGTAAAATTACTCTAAAACGCTTTACAACATATGGATAATAGTAATAGTTATAATTGTGAAACAAAAACAAAGGCTTACAATCAATTTTATACATTTAAGCAAGCAATGTGCACATATACATGCCGTCTTTGAAGAGATCCTAAAATGCAATCTCCACGCAGAGTTACGGTCCTTGCATTCCCTTTAATCTCTGCCAACGTCAAAAAGTAGTCCCGAATCACATGACCAAAACATCAGGTGCTCATCAGGTGATCGTACAAAATGGCAGCATGGCAACGACCGTGAACACAACAAAGAAGTTGGAAAGTATAGACTGTTTTGCGTGTTTTGCAAAAAATATAACAGTATTTAAGTTGAGTTGGAGAAAGTTAGAAAGTGAAGGATTCAAGGCAAAATTACAATGTATATTAGATACTACTGATATCATGAGCAGGTTATACGAAGCCGGCGCTGCTGTGTGCGGGTCACCCTAATGAGTGTCCTCAGAGGTTTTTGCGCGCCCGAGAGTTCGTTATTACACCTTTTTCATTTATTTATTCTGATTCATAAATATTGTTCACTTACCTAGGTGTTTGCAAAATTTCAAGTTGGTCATAACAGTAGAAAGTACCGAAATACGTCAATAAATACTATTTTCAAGAGGGTGGATTGAGTGTCCACGGAGGAATGAGTGTCCAGGGAGGTTTTCGCGCGCCCGAGAATTCGTTAATCAATATTTTTTACTTCTGTCTTCCGATTCATAAATATTTTTCATTAACTTAACTGTGTGCAAAATATCAGGTTGACCATAACAGTAGAATGTACCGAAATACGTCGATAAATACTATTTTCACGAGGGTGGATTGAGTGTCCACGGAGGAATGAGTGTCCAGGGAGGTGTTCGCGCGCCCGGGAATTCGTTAATCGATATTTTTTACTTCTGTCTTCGGATTCATAAATATTTTCCATTTACCTAACTGTGTGCAAAATATCAGGTTGACCATAACAGTAGAATGTACCGAAATACGTCGATAAATACTATTTTCACGAGGGTGGATTGAGTGTCCACGGAGGAATGAGTGTCCAGGGAGGTGTTCGCGCGCCCGGGAATTCGTTAATCGATATTTTTTACTTCTGTCTTCGGATTCATAAATATTTTCCATTTACCTAACTTTGTGCAAAATATCAGGTTGACCATAACAGTAGAATGTACCGAAATACGTCGATAAATACTATTTTCACGAGGGTGGATTGAGTGTCCACGGAGGAATGTGTGTCCAGGGAGGTGTTCGCGCGCCCGGGAATTCGTTAATCGATATTTTTTACTTCTGTCTTCGGATTCATAAATATTTTACATTTACCTAACTGTGTGCAAAATATCAGGTCGATCATAACAGTAGAATGTACCGAAATGTAAGAAATATTCTGATAAAAATATGCGAACTATCTCACAACAGGCATTACTGAAGGGAAGTAACTCGTACGGACCTACCTGTAGAACTCTTAGCCATTCATTATATATGTTACCGGGCTTTGCGATGAGGACGCAGTTCTACATAAGAGCCCATTTTATTTTATTTTATTTCATGATTTTATTTTTAACTAATTGCCATCAATTTCAAACAATTACATTATGTTTTCAATATTTTTGTATGTATTATTTCTCTCTCTAATTTTATGTCCTATTATATATATCAAAATAGTAATTTTTTGTTTAATTAGTTTGTTGTACATAATTAATAATAATAGTTAACATTTACATAAATTTAGTCCCAGTTAATTTTATATAAAATGATAATCATTTGATCAAATTGAATTCTCAATTTGCAAACAATTGAATACGTTATACATATTACTGAACTATTTGTTAATACATTGATTAAGTTATAAGTACATATCATAATATGTAATTAATAATGAAAGATTATATTGAAATCGAAAGATTGAAAACAATAATTATCTGGAATTATCTATTTTATATAACACAGTAGTGATGCACAGAGTAGGAGATTCCAGCTTTTAGGTAACTAACGGTTTATATTTGTGTTTTGTTTTTGAATTTATACGTGTTTATTGTCACAATGATCACAAGCTACATTTTTAGCACCATTGTAGTTTTTTGCACAAATACCGCAGGGATACATATTGGGCATGATAAGGAAAAACGACAGAGAAAATAAATAAGTTAAATATTTCACTAGCTAACAAAGAAACCTTATATCAAATATATTACTTGTTAACAAAGAAACCTTATATCAAATATATAACTAGCTAACAAAAAAATCTACTTATATCGACCGATAAACGACGGAGTTACAAAGAAACCTTATATCAAATATATTTCTTGTCAACAAAGAAAAACTTATATCGACCGATAAACGACGGAGTTAAATATATCACTAGCTAACAAAGAAACCTTATATAAAATACATTACTAGCTAACAAAGAAACCTTACATAAATATTTTACTAGCTAACAATGTAACCTTGTATCAAATATATAAATGAGTTAAATATTGATATATATACACACACACACACACAATTTATAGTTAAGCACTAAAAACGCAGCGACTATTATGATCACATAAAGAATGATATATTTCAATAATCTGTTTACAACGAAGCGACTATTGATAAGAAGTAAATTCTGATTCTGATACTGATATAAGCACTAAAACCCTGAAATACAACAATAGGTTATTTTCTGTACAATCGAAACTGTAATCAAATACTTTCCGAGAGCTNCAAAAAACCCTTATATCGACCGATAAACGACGGAGTTACAAAGAAATCTTATATCAAATATATTTCTTGTTAACAAAGAAAAACTCATATCGACCGATAAACGACGGAGTTAAATATATCACTAGCTGACAAAGAAACCTTATATAAAATACATTACTAGCTAACAAAGAAACCTTACATAAAATATATTACTAGCTAACAATGCAACCTTGTATCAAATATATAAATGAGTTAAATATTGATATATATACACACACACACAATTTATAGTTAAGCACTAAAAACGCAGCGACTATTATGATCACATAAAGAATGATATATTTCAATAATCTGTTTACAACGTAGCGACTATTGATAAGAAGTAAATTCTGATTCTGATACTCATATAAGCACTAAAACCCTGAAATACAACAATAGGTTATTTTCTGTACAATCGAAACTGTAATCAAATACTTACCGAGAGCGTAACAAGACTGATAAACTGCCTTATGCAATAATTGAAAAACTGTGATTTGACAATACTATTATCAAATACTTACTTAGAGCGTAAAACGATAAATAGAGGTTACACAACGAGAGGTTGTTGAATATGGTATTTATTTCACTCGAGTTAGTTAATTTTCAAAAGTTACAAAAGACACGAGCTTTAGCGAGTGTCTTTCTGTAACTTTTGAAAATTAACTAACGAGAGTGAAATAAATACCATACTCAACAACCACGAGTCGTGTGATCTGTTTCTACCACAATCTCATGATCAGTCGGAAATAACATACACACATGTGTTTGTTGACAAGGCTGGCGTAGTGATATGACCCATATGTAAAAAGTCACTCATAAATATTCAAAAATGACTTTTTTTTTACAAATTTAATAATTGTCAAAATTAATGTTTTGGCAACAACGTTATGAAAAAATATAATGGATGAACGACTTTAAATATTGAGAGTAGCAANGTAACTTTTGAAAATTAACTAACGAGAGTGAAATAAATACCATACTCAACAACCACGAGTCGTGTGATCTGTTTCTACCACAATCTCATGATCAGTCGGAAATAACATACACACATGTGTTTGTTGACAAGGCTGGCGTAGTGATATGACCCATATGTAAAAAGTCACTCATAAATATTCAAAAATGACTTTTTTTTACAAATTTAATAATTGTCAAAATTAATGTTTTGGCAACAACGTTATGAAAAAATATAATGGATGAACAACTTTAAATATTGAGAGTAGCAATATTGCATTAATTTATATAAATTAACCACGGACTATATGCGCGTAAGCATATCGTAATAAGTCTGCCTCCCGCCAAGTGATGAAGACGAACTTATCGCTGTCAATGTCTAAGACCATAGGCCTACGTTTCTTCGTGACGGTTCTATTGTTGACGTTTATAGTGAAAGTTCAGCCATATAGTCAGACCGTCCAAATAGCGATAACGTGATGTTGGGAGAACGAAATATTTCCCGACATTGTGAAAGATCTTGTTTTGGTTTCACGACCTGGACACGCGACGGTGTAACGTCGAAACGATATCGAGCGTCTGTAGCAATTTCGCCTGAAACTATAGCGATCAAAACTTTAAGTATCATCTTCTTTTAATATTGCCTTAATAACCCCCTTTTCCGCATAACCACACAAAGTCACCAACATTTGTCGGATGTTGACAGCAGACGACGTAAACAAAACAGCAGGTGGCAAAAAGCGCGTGGAAAGTCGTCCCGGTCAAAGTTCATTTTCTCGACCAATCAAAACTCTTGAAAGTCATATATAACTCATATTTATCTAACAGTCTGCGTGTTTATACAATGATCTGAGAGTGGAATAACACAGCGTATTGTGGTAGAAACTATCTTATACAATAATCGAAAACTGTAATTTGTCTATACTATTATCAAATACTTACTTAGAGCCTAAAACGATTAACGGTCTTATACAATAATTGAAACCTGCTATTTGACTATACTATTATCAAATACTTACTGAGAGCGTAAAACGATAAACTGTCTTATACAGATTGCACGCGCATATAATTCAGTGCCTCGGAAACAGTCGTAAATTATGAATATACAAAACCTATATCAAAGTCTTGCTATAAGCGTCTTGTTACTGTATAATAAGATTGTGATCTATGTTTTTTATTCAACAGAAGTGTATAATCGCATTTCATTTTCA